ATCCGTGGTGGTTCAGTTTCATCCTGCCCTTCCTAGGGGCAACATGGGTCCGGGTGGATTCTCATCCCCCGAAACACCCTTTTTCCCTGACTTCACAGCTTCTCCCTGCCCCACTGGCCCCTCCTCCCCATCCTCCTCTGCCTCTGGCTTTGGCCGTCTGATGCCATCTCTCTTTATTCTCACCCCCTAAGACCCCGTACCGTCCTGTGGCTTTCAATACCACCTGTACGCCAAGGCATCTCATGTTTCATGGCCAGCCTGACCTCTCCCCAGGAACTCCAGACTCCATTATCCAAAACGCTGCCTAGATGTTTACTAGATCAGGGTCCCCAACCCCCTGTTTGTAGCCTGTTAGGAACTGGGCTGCACAGCAGGTGAGCAGCGGCAAGCCAGAGAAGCTGAGTGTAGCAGCAGCATTAGATTCCGATAGGAGCGTGAACCCTATTGTGAACTGTGCATGCGAGGGATCGAGGTTGCTCGTTCCTTATGAGAATCTAATAATAAATGGGCCGGGTGCGGTGGTTCACGCCTGTACCTGTAATCCCAGCACTTTGGGAGGCTGAGGTGGGGGAGGATCACTTGAGGTCAGGAGTTGGAGACCATCCTGGCCAACATGGTGCAACCCCGTCTCTACTAAAAATACAAAAATTAGCTGGGCGTGGTGACACATGCATATAATCCCAGCTACTCAGGAGGCTGAGGCAGGAGAATCACTTGAACCGGGGAGGCAGAGGTTGTAGTGAGCCAAGATGGCTCCACTGCACTCCAGCATGGGTGACAGAGCGAGACTCCATCTCAAAAAAAAAAAAAAAAGAATCTAATGATAAATGTACTGCACTTGAACCCTCCTGAAGCCACCCCCACCCGCCCCCAGTCCGTGGAAAAATTGTCTTCCGTGAAAGCAGTCCCTTCTGCCACAAAGGTTGGGGAGCCACTGTGCTAGGTATCTCAGGCCATCATGGCCCACCTGTCCCACCTTGTGCCTTTCCCACCTCCCTAACTCATTCCTGACTTCAACAAGTGCCGCCAACATTCATCCAACTGGTTCAGCAGAAACGGTGAAGTTATCCTTCCTTTCTCTTCTGTCCTCCCCCAGATTCTGCAAATTCCACCTTCAGCATGTTCACATCTAACTGCTGCTTCCACCATTGTCCCAGCCACTGCCATCTTGTGCCTGTGCCCCTGTAACAGTCTCCTAACGGGTATCCCTGCTTTCACCCTTGCCCCTTCCAGAGTCTTCATGAAGCAGCCAAAGTGATATTTTTAAAGCCAGAATCACACCACCATGTCACTCTCAGCTTTTAGCATTCCAGTGAGATCATATTGCACTCAAAATAAAACTAAAGTCCTTAAGACCTACAGAACACGAATAAACTGCGTCTGACTCCTACCACTCGCTCCCTCCACTCCAGCCATCCTGGCCTCCTCACTCACTTTTCCCCCAGCAGGCCAAGCATATTCCTGCCTCAGGGCCTGTCCACTTGCCAGTTCCCCTGCTTGAAACACTTCTTTTTTTTTTTTCTTTTTTTGAGACGGAGTCTCACTCTGTCATCCAGGCTGGAGTGCAGTGGTGTGATCTTGGCTTGTTGCAACCTTCGCCTCCTGGGTTCAAGTGATTCTTCTGCCTCTGCCTCCCGAGTAGCTGGGATTATAGGCATGAACCACCATTCCGGGATAATTTTTATATGTTTAGTACAGATGGGGTTTCTCCATGTTGGTCAGGCTGCTCTCAAACTCCTGACCACCAGTGATCCATCTGCCTTGGCCTCCCAAAGTGCTGGGATTACAGGCGTGAGCCACGGTGCCCGGCCCTTGAAACACTTCTCCAGGTATCTCAGCAACAGCTTCCAACTTTTTTTAGGTCTCTGCTCAGATGTTGCCTCCTCCCAGGGCCTTTCCTGATCACATCTGAAACAGCAACCCCCTGATGCCTCACCTGCATTGCACACTAGGCCCTCCCTCTGCTTTACTTTTCCCCATAGCATCTCCATCATCTGACATTCGTATGAAGTGTTTGTTTACTTAGGAATCCCATAGCGCCCGAGACATCTGGATGTGGAAAAGGCATCTCCGGAGTGCATGTGTGGAGGGAGCTGGGGGAATGGGGACTCTCTGCGGTGCTCTTTCCAGGGTGTGCTCTTTGTTAGGACAATGAAGACACACAGCTTATGTGTCTTGTCTAACATTTCCCCAGGGCCTACACACAGTGGATGTGAATGAACACACGAAGAAAGGAAGGATTGACAAAGTGAAACAGCAAATGAGCAAAGGAAGAGGTGGCAGCCTGGGGGTCCTGGCAGTCCTCCAGCAGAGAGGACCCCTGGCTCCCACTCCTTGGGCTGGTGGAAAGCACAGGTCTGTGTCCCCGACTGCCCGGGAGCCTCCCAGCACAGGCAGCCCCTGGGTCGCAACTGGACCTGGACAGGGACACAGCGCCCTCTGGTGGCCAAGACTCCTGAGGCTCTAGGCCCAGGCCTCTAGAGTCCTGGTGGTTTCCAAGGACTTTCCCACAGTCCCCTTGGAATACCACAGAAATCCCTATGAAACAAAGAAGCTCAGATTTGTAATGAAGGAAAGGATGCCATGCTGGGCACCCAGAGTCGGTTCTAGCCATGCCCCTGACTCTCTGGGTGACCTTCAGTGTGCCCTGGGATTTGTTGAGCTGCCAAGGACTGGGCTTGGGTTTGCCACTGGAGGGAGTGGGGGTGCCTGCAGCAACACCTTGACTGCTCGCCTCCTGGGCTCAGCTTGCTAAGGCCTTACCCATCAGGAAGTGCTTGCATGAATGAGTGAGCTGAAATCTTCCTCCCCATGGCTCTAGCATCCCTCCAGGCTTTGCGTTGTGTCCACACACATGCTGGAAGAACACCAGTCTCCATTCCCCCAACCCCCTTTCACCCATGGGATCTGGAGATGCCTTTTCCACATCCAGATGTCTCGTGTGCAGTGGGATTACTAAATCTGGAGCTCAGGGGGAGGTCTGCACTGAAGACAGACCTCTGGGGTCAGCACCAAGGGTCTGTGACACCTGGAGAATGACTGGCTTGCTGAGGCCAGTGGTTCCCAGCCTAGGCTGCATATTACAATCATCCGGAAACCCAATGAGCATTGAGGCCCAGACCCCGCCTACCCAGACTGATGAACTCAGAGCCCCTGCGTGTGCAATGGATTTTTAAAATTGTTTATTCTCTTGGTAGGTCACTCACAGAACATGCATGGACAGTTTTACAGGCTTTCAGGAGATTCTTTGTGTAGCAGGGTTGAGCTACACTGTAGCAGAGCCTAGGACCCTGGGAAGAACTCAGAGAAGGCCGCAGTAGAGGCTGGGAAAGACAGAGTTATGAGGTAGGAGGAAAAGCAAGTAATGGGGGGTGTTTCAAGAACCAGAGCTGAGTGCTGCTGAGAAGTCAAAGTCCTTGTTGCTTTTGTTTTGGAGAATAACGTTGGTGACTCTAATAAGAGCCACATAATGGCATCATGGGGATGAAGGAGAGTTAATCGAGGGGAAAATAGGGGTAAGAAAGTGGAAATGAAAGTAATCAACAACTCTTTTGAAGAGTTTTTGCTGTGAAGAGGAACAGAGAAACAGGGAGGTGGCCAAAGGGGAATGTGAGGGCAAGGGAAGGTTTAAAATGTGACATTACAGAGCATGTTTGGGTGTGGCTGGAAAAGCCGCTGATAGGATGAATGGGCCCAGGAGAGAGCTGAAATTTCCAAGCTCTGAGGTGAGAGGAGCCGGGATCAGAGCATAGCTGGGGACAAACACTGTTGCGACTGTAGGGGTAGGAAAAAGACGGATGGATGCCAGTACACTTGCAGATGCAGTGGGAGAGCCTGACCTGTTTCCCCAACATGCCTGTGAGTAGACACTGGGTGGGGACAGACAGGAGGTTCTGGGGAGGAGAAAAGCTGCCCCTCTAGGGAACAGGGTCTCTGGTGGCAGGGAGCGCCTGCCCTGCACCGTTAAGGATGCAGTCAGCCTGCTTAAATGGGTTTTTTTGGCTATGGGCGGCTGTGTGCAGGCACAGAGGAGGTCTGGGCTCATCCAAGGCCGGGGTCTTGCCAGACCAGTAAGATGAAAGGAGAGAGAAGGGGGGAAGGGACTATGGAGAACAGAGGGGATGGTGGGCAGAGGCCTGGAAGAGCCAGAAAAGGGTCCCGGTAGGTCGATGTGGCTAGGCAGGGGCGGTATTGGCCGTGCGAGAGGAAGTGAGCTGGAAGGAGGAGGTGGCCAGAGGATGAGGCTTGGACACAAGAGAGCAAAAATTATGTGTCCGTCCTGAAAATGAGGTTCAGGATGTGCCAAGGGTGTGGGCAGCTGAGGTGGAGTTGCGGTGAGGGGCCAAGCAGCCAGACCCCTGGAGGCATGATGCCTGTGCGCATGGCTGGCTCCTAGGATGGCAGCAGCAGCAGCAGCAGAGGAGGGAGCGCAGCATGGAAGTCTTCAGGAAACTTCTCTCCCCCGGAATGTCGGCTCCCGAACAGGACCAAGGCTGTCCTGAACACGGCCATGTCCCCCAGTGCCTGGCACTGAGTAGGCACACAGCAAAACTCTCATCTAGGATGATGCCTGATACATCATTTGTTCTCTCTCCTTTACAGATGAGGAGACTGAGGCCGCGGGTTCCCAGAAGTATCTGCAAATTGTTGGAGTTTCAGCAGGGAACAAGTGTGTGGGGCGAGGGCGTCCCTGAAATCCCTTCCACCTGCTCCCCGCCCCCATTGCCTCCTCCCAGCTCCCCAGCTCGGGCCTCCGGGTCTCCAGTTGGGCCCTCATGTTGCTCCTTCCCCAGTCTGACAAACAACCCTCAGGGTTCCCTCCGCCTGCCTCTTCATGTCACTCTGGCCATGGAGGGCCACATGGAGTCCTAATGATCTCCATCCTGTCTGCTGCCGCAGTGGATTTGAGCCCATGGGTGGCAGGTCAGGCCCAGGTCACCTGTGCCCCTGGAACCGGCACAGGGCGCTGGTGCTGGCCGCAATGAACGTGGGCAGGGGCGTGTGCCGTGAGTGCCCCTGTTGGGCGCTGCTCTGAGCTTTATTATCTGCGAGTCTGCACACCGCATATGTGGAGGGCAGGGCAGGGCGGAGGTCCTCCACAGGCGGCCTGCCTCATTCCTGCAGGCCAGGGTAGACACAGGCGTGTGTCCGCATGGGCCCACTATGTGCCCACCATCCCACCCTCCTGTCCCAGGGGGAGCACCTCTCCCCTCTGGCCACCACTCTGCTGGGTGTTCAGGGCCGGTCACAAGGGGCAGGGCCCTTCCTCCGCTCACGACTCAGCAGGTTCACCAGCTTGGCCTTGAAGCCTGCCTGAGGGTCAGGGCGGCCTGTGCCCTCTGCCTCATCCAGCTCCAGCAGCCGCCGGTACTGGGCTTCCAGACTGCTGTCATGGGCTGGGCTGGGCCAGCTCAAGTCTTCGCCGTTGTGGTAGATGGGACTGGCTGTGGGGCTGCGGCCGCCAGGGCCCTCGTGCTGCTCAGGTTCCCCGCTGTGCGGTGTGGGGCTGGCCTCCAGCACACACAGGTTCTCATAGAGGTGCTCCGTGCGTGGGAGCCCACTGGCACGCTTGCACACTGAGGCGTAGAGCCCGGATGCCGGATCGCTGGGCTCCAGGCCTAGCAGTAGCGGCAGGCTCTGGGGTCCGGGCTCAGCCAGGCGCACCCTCCTGTAGGTGGGTGGCTCAGGTCCTGGTGGCATCTCCCGCAGCTCTCCGGGGGCGTCCAGGGAGGGCAGAGAGGTGGCCCGTGGCAGGGGGCAGGGCTGGGCCCTGGCCAGCTCTGGCAGTCGCTCCCGCTGGCGGGTGATGGCCTCGGCCACAGCCCTGCACAGGTCGGGGGCACAGGGGGTGTGGAAGGCAAAGAGGCCCTCACCCGAGTCGCAGCGGCGGCCGGCTTCAAAGGAGAACACGCCCTGGGCACAGGCGACACGGGTGGGGATTAGCAGGAGGGTCCAGGGTGTCGGCCCCCCACCCTTCCCACCCCTGCACCTCACCTTGTCAGAGCCGAACTTGCGTAGGAAGTGGTAGGGCCAGCTGTAGAGGACCTGGGTGACCTTGGCCTCCCTCAGCTGGATGGCATCTGGGCCCAGCACCAGCAGGGCCGGCCCCTTCAGCTGGCAGCGGGTGGCGGCCTCAGTCCTCTGCACCACCACGGGAAACTCGCCCACTGTGGCAGGTGGCCAGGACATCCCGGTCAGTCCCCCAAAGACCCAGCCCTGGGTGTGGGGGGTGGAGGCTGCCCCTGCACCTCCTCCAACTTACCTTCCTGCCAGGAGGAGTAGATGGAGTTCTCCTCCATAGGGACCAGACCCCTCTTGGGAGACTGGGCATCTGTGGATCCTGAGGAGGCCTCCCCTGTCCCCTGGGGAATGAGTTCAAGTCAAAGGTGGGAGCACCACACTCCCATGCCCTGTCCCCTCCCTTGGGGTCAGTATCCCAGGACTCCACCACAAGCCAGGGTCCCTTCTGAGCCTGTTCTCCCACCTGGCTCCCCACTGAGAGTGCTGGGCTGGGAAAGAGGTGCGGTGCTTGAGGGTGTCAGAGCTGCAGATCACTGGGGACACTAGGGGATGTCCCCTGCAGCCCCTGGGCTTGGCTGGGCCGGCTTCTGCATGTCTCTGACAGCCTCGAGCAGTACAGGGACAAGAGTGTTCCGGCTGGGACACACGTGTGAGCTGGGCGGGGAGCAGTACCCCACGTGTCTTCTTCCATTTCACTGCAACCACCTGCTACAACCCTGCAAGGTGCCTCCAATCTCTGCCTATGCCTCATCCCTACACCCAGGCCTTCAGTTGTCCTCTAGCTCTTTCCCACTCAGCCCGTCTACTAGGACCACCCTGGCCCATAGCAACACGGCCGAGTCCAATGCCACAGCTTCCTCACCGGGCTCCTTGCTCCTGTCAACTGCCTTTTTTTTTTTGAGATGGAGTCTTGCTCTGTCACCCATACTTGAGTGCAATGGCGAGATCTCAGCTCACTGCAACCTCCACCTCCTGGGTTTAAGTGATTCTCCTGCCTCAGTCTCCCAAGTGGCTGGGATTACAGGTGCCCACCACCACACCTGGCTAATTTTTTGTATTTTTAGTAGAGACAGGGTTTTGCCATATTGGGCAGGCTGGTCTTGAACTCCTGACCTCAGGTGATCCACGTGCTTCGGCTTTCCAAAGTGCTGGGATTACAGGCGTGAGCCACCATGCCTAACCTCAACTGCCTTTTGTTTTTTTATTTTTTAAATATGATAAAATACAGAGAACAAAAAATTTACGGTTTTAACCATCTTACATTTTTTTTTGTTTGTTTTTTGAGACACAGTCTTGCTCTGTCAGCCAGGCTGGAGTGCGGTGGCACAATCTCAGCTCACTGCAACCTCTGCCTCCCAGACTCAAGCAATTCTCCTGCCTCAGCCTCCGAAGTAATAGCTGGGATTACAGGTGTGTGCTACCACGCCCGGCTAATTTTTGTAATTTTTTTTTTTAGTAGAGGTGGGGTTTCACCATGTTGGCCTGGCTGGTCTCGAACTCCTGACCTCAGGTAATCCACCTGCCTCGGCCTCCCAAAATGCTGGGATTACAGGTGTGAACCACCACGCCCGGTCCATTTTACATCTTAAAGTGTATCACCAGTGCTTTTTTTTTTTTTTGAGATGGACTTTTGCTCTCGTTGCCCAGGCTGGAATGCAATGGTGCAATGGCGCCATCTTGGCTCACCGCAACCTCCGCCTCCCAGGTTCAAGTGATTCTCCTGCCTCAGCCTCCCGAGTAGCTGGGATTACACTGAGCAGTCTAGAACCACACAAGCTAATTTTGTATTCTTTTCAATAAGAGAACGGGGTTTCTCCATGTTGAGGCTGGTCTCGAACTCCTGACCTCAGGTGATCTGCCCACCTCGAACCTCCCGAAGTGCTGATTACAGGCGTGCCATACCCTGGCCACGTGCTTTTTTTATTTTTTATTTTTTTTTTATTTTTTTTTTATTTTTTTGAGACGGGAGTCTCGCCGCTGGGTCGCCCAGGCTGGATGCAGTGGCTCGATCTCAGTCAGCTGCAAGCTGGCGCGCCCTCCCGGTTCACGCCAGTTCTTCCTGCTCGAGCCTCCGCATAGCTGGACATACAGAGCCCGCCACCAGATCGCTCCGGCAGTGTTTTTTGTATTTTTAGTAGAGACGGGGTTTCACCGTGTTAGCCGGGATGGTCTCAATCTCCTGACCTTGTGATCCACCCGCCTCGGCCTCCCAAAGTGCTGGGATTACAGGCGTGAGCCACTACGCCTGGCCACCAGTGCTTTTTAGTATATTCACAAGGTTGTGCAGCTGTTGCCACTGTCTAGTTCCAGAACTTTTCCATCATCCCACATGGAAACCCTGTACCCGTGAGCTGCCACTCCCCGCCTCTCCCTTCCCCCAGCTCCTGGCAAGACTCATCTGATTTCTATCCCAACGGAGTTACCCAGTCTGTGCATTTCTTTTTCTTTTCTCCTTTTCTTTTTGTTTTTTTAGAGACAGGGTCTCACTATGTTGCCCAGGCTGATCTTGAATTCCTAGGCTCAAGCAATCCTCCTACCAAAGTGGGGGATTACAGGCGTGAGCCACTGCGCCTGGCCCGTTTGTTCATTTTTATGGCTGAGTAGTATTCCATCTTGTGGACAGACCACGTTTTGTTTATCCATTTGTCAGCTGATGGCCACGTAGGCTGTTTCCACCTTCTGGTGGCCGTGAGTAGTGCTGCTATGGGGTTTTTTTTGAGATAGGGTCTTGCTCTGTCTCCGGGGCTGGAGTGAAGTGGCACGATTACGGCTCACTGCAGCCTCGACCTCTGGGGCTCACGCGATCCTGCCGCCTCACATGTACATGTTTTGTTTGAACACCTGTTCTAGTTCTCTTGGGCACACACCTAGGAGTGGACCTGTGGGCCACATGGTAACTCTGTTTACCTCTTTGAAGAACCCCCAGGCTCACTTCCTTTTGACCCATCACAGACCTTGTGGGGCTTTACAAACGTGTCTGGCTACAACCCTCCAAAGCCTTCGCCTCACACTCAGAACAGAACCACACACATGGCCTGGGGCGTTTCAGCTGCTCCCCTAAGCTCCGTGATTTGGCTTCCTCCTGCACTCCTATCCTTCCAGCCATGTCGCCTTCTTTCTGCCCTTAAACACCCCACACTGTCCGACCTCGGGGCCTCTGCCCACGGGACTGCCTCTGTTCACAACTCCCCAGGCTGCCCCTGTCCTCAGACCTTTGCCCAGTGGGCTCCTGTCATTCAGGGCCCTCCTCTGAGAGGCCTTCCCTGACCACCCTGCCCGTCGCACCCTCACTTCCTCCTGCTCCCCTGGCGGTCCATTTTCTCCACGGCGCGCGTGGCCCTCTGAGAGTCATTATAGATTTACTTTTCCCAGGATTGTAGGTGCTCGGTGGAGCTTGCTGGGTGACGGGATGTGAGTGAGCATGGAGGTGGACAAGTGGGGGGCAGGTGCCCCAGCCCAACCACCCCCCTGCCCGCTGCACTCACCGGGAAGGCCAGCTGGCAGATGGGGCCCATCCAGGCCTGGCGGTGCTGCGCGGCCAGCAGGTGGGTTCGCTCGGTGGTGGTGAGCAGGAAGGCACCGGTGTCCCGGGGGCAGCTCTCACCGTCGGCCGGCAGCACCGACACACAGTCAGCCAGGCGGATGACCCGTCGCTCCCCTCGCCGGCCAGGCCCTGCCGACCTGTCACCTGCTGCTCCCAGGCCACCATCCCGGACCTCCCAGCTCTCCAGCCGGGCCACGCCTGATGGGCCTCCTGCATACAGCAGAGCCCACACCTTCCGCCAGCACTTCTGTGGGAGAGGCGGGGGAGAGCGAAGACTCTTGGGTGGCGGATTCTCCATGCCACTCGGTTCAGCACAAGCTGCTTGGCAAACGCTCCCAGCCAGGAGCGGGCCTCTGCTCCCTAGTTTCTCAGGGCGCCAGGAAGGAGGCCTTGGCTGGGCTTGGGACTGGTCAGCCCTGGGTTCAAATCCCAGCCCGCTCTTCCCGAACTGTGACCTCCACAAGCATCAGTGTCGTCTCTCAAAAGGCCACGAGAACACGAGTTGGGGCTGCTACCGGGTCATGTTTGTAAAGCCTCCAGTGGCCGGGCAGACCACCAGACACTGCCATTATGTTGGCTCCCTCTTGCCCCCAAAAAGGGGCACTTGGGCCACAGGCCAAGGGCTGGGGTGGGAGGGAGGCCTCCGCCTCACGCTGGTAAGGAAGGAAACATGCAAATAGCTTCGAGCAAAGGAAATCGACGGTTTATCTGCCTGGGCAGCAGCTGCAGCTGAGCTGCGGGGGTGTGGGGCCACTGCCGAGGAGAGGTGACCCCCCTGCCTCGCTGCTCCCAGGACAGTGCCGCTGCAGGGAGGGGCTCCACCCTTGGGACTCCAGCTCAGCCCCTTACCCTCCCTAGGGCCCACAGTGGGTCAGAGGCCGTGAAGCTCTTCCCTGCTGGGAGGTTTGAGCCTTCGACCCTCTCCCGCTCCTGTATTCCCCGTCTCTCCCAGAGGCAGGGTCTGGCAGAGCCTGCTCAGCCCCTGCCATCTCTGGCCGACACCCGTGCTCTGTTCCACTCCCCATACCTGGGGTGGGATCCTTCACCCTGACTCCCTTCCCAAGTCTCCCAGGTCTGCCTGGGCTGTCCGAGGCAGGGGCGGAGGCTGCATTCTCCACCCACTGTTGGTCCTTGGCAGCTGCCTGGCAGCCAGGAGTCCCCACCTTGCCAAACTTGACATGCTGCTGGTAGAGGATGCCATCCTTGACAGGGGTCTCCACAGGGTCCATGGTCACGGCAGGGAGCAGGGCCGCCGCTTCGAGACCTGGGGAGACTGATGACAGGCTGGACGGGAACTCCTCACACTTCCCCTTCGGGCCACTTCCCGTCCCTCCGTCCAGAGCAGCCGCAGGTGGGGGGAGGGGAACCTGTCTTCAGCTCGGGCTGGGGCAGCGTGGATTTCCTTCCTGGGGTTCTGGCTGCCCAAGGTGCCCACACCTACCTGGAGGGAGTCCCTGGCCGCCTGAAGGCAAACAGCCTGCGCCCGCACCTGGGTCAGCTGGGCACGAGCGTCTGGTGGCAGGCTGGCTCCCTGCGTCATGCGTTCCCGCCTTCCCCCGACCCGCCCTGGGCAGCCGTGCACCCTGGCCTGACACTCCCTGGCTGTGCCTCCAGCCGGGACCCTTCTGTAGCCAACTCCTGGCTTTCCCACTCGGCGTCCCAGCTTGAGCGCCTCACCCCATCTTGCTGCTCTTTCTCCCTGAAATCTCTCGTGTTCACCTCCTCCTCTCCACCCGACGAGCCGCTGAACGTTGCCAGCCTTGGCATCCCCCTGGGGGACACAGCCCCACTGGGGCCCCATGCAGCACTCTCCACAACCCAAGACCACCCTGTCTCTCCCTTTCCTGGGCTGCAGCCCTGGCTCCTCAGCCCAACACTCTGGGGCCCGTGTGTTCTGGCCTCCATCTCCCCCAGGCTCATTCCCCCAGACCAGCCCCTCCGGGGCCTCCTCACCACTGTGCCGCCTGGGGTGGTGGGTCACCTCTTCCTCTTGGAGGCCTTCCCTGACCACTACACGCTGTCCGAGAGCACAAAGGCCCTCACGGTATACACTCACGCTGGGTATCCAGTCCACATGGGATCCACACCCCTGAATGGCCCCAACCACGTGAGTGTGGGTGGCAGGTCCCAGTGGGCCCTGGAGAGGTCACATGTTCATTTAAAGCGTTGCTTCCTGCTGGGGGCTCATTTTGTTGGCTTGCCTAGCAGGAGACCAGTAGCGGGGCTGTGTGTGTGTATCTTTATTCTGGAACAGTCTCAGGTCATTCAGTGTCACCTCTGGGAGAGAACATGGAAGCAGGCTAAGGAATGCCGTTTGGGCATGCACTTGGCCAGGAAATATTTCCTAAAGGCCTCCCAGCACCCGGCTTTGTGCCCACTGTGCCCAGGCAGCCCTGAGCTCCAGTCACCTCAGACACCATGTCCTTTGCATTCTCATCGCCATTTCAACAGTGAGGAAATCAGTGCTTAGAAAAATTAAGTAACTTGCCCAAGGCCACACACCAAGTGACAAATATGGCTTGAGCAACCGCCGTCCCACTGGAATGAGCATGCGGCCATACACACAAAGTGCCCGGTTCAGAGGAAGTGTGGCCGCCTGTGCCGTTCCCTGCCTACCTCTCGCCAGATGCCGAGATCCTGCTTCATCTGCCAGCGGTCTTGTGACTGCCGTCCACGTTTCCGTGTGTGCGTCTTTCTCTCCCCTCGCCTGAGAGCTTCCCAGGTAGCCATCTCCCTGGCCCATCTAGATCCTCACAGCTCAGCAGAGCTGGGCACAGAACAGGCTTAGGGGGAGCTTGTGGCCTGAACGGCAGTTCTATGACATCTGCTGCCTCCTCAGTCAACAGAGCAGAGGGCTTCCTACAGGTGGCTGGCGCAGGCAGGCAGTGGGTGGGGAGCCTCAGGCAAGCAGCAGCCCCCCAAGGGGCTTCAGGAGAAGCCCCTGAAACATCACACCACTGACAGGAAGAGTGAGCCCGAGAGCTGTGACAGCTGGCCAGGGAGACCAGAGAATCCAAGCACTTCTCCTTGGCCTGCCAGTGTGGTCCCTCCTTGAGTCATAAATTCACACAACCCAATGGAGAGATGCTGAGTTCCCAGAGGCAGGCACCAGCTCGGTGGCTCCTTCCATGCCCAAGTACCAGCAGGCCGGGTGTTGGCAGTGCTAGCGGGAGATGCTGGGGCCTTGCCTCAGAGGGGCTCCAGAGGTCACAGGTGATGTCTGCCCCAGGAACCAGGGGGCAGATGAGATGAAACACAGAGGCAGGGCCAGGGCTGGGATAGAGGTTTGTGCTTTAATGGCAGCTGGGGTGAAAGGAAACAAAAATAGTAATTCTGAGGAGCACAGGGAACAGGCAACCAGAACCAGTCTGGCCCAGCCCAGGCCAGCCGAGCTGAGATGCTGGTTCTGTCCAGGGGGCTGCTGTGTGTGTAGACTGGCGGCAATCTTGGGGACCGAGGCCCCTTGGAGAGGAGGGAAGATCATCGGGTCAGAAGTCCATGGAGCTGTGGGCCAGGTAGTCCTTGCGGCCGATGTTGCTGACCTGCTTGGTCTGCATAGCCTCGAGTTTGGGGCAGTCGGTGATCCGATGGCCCAGGCCCCCGCAGAAGGCACAGCCGCGCTCTCCTGGGGGAATGGGGACAGGGATCAGCCAAGTCAAGGGCCAGGATCCATGCCCTGGACCTCAGGCACCCTGTTAGGCACCCTCGGTCCCTGTTTCGTGTTTCTGAATTCCAGCACCCCCTCCTGCCACCCGCCGGCTGGGGACTCAGGGGCCCCGCTCCGCAGTCACCTCCAATGTCCAGCATGGACTCGTCCCCGCAGTGCAGCACCTGCAGCACAGGCGGCACCTTCTGCCTGGCTTCCAGCAGCAGCGCTTTCAGGTCCATCAGCACTGACTCATCTGGTGGAGGAGTGGGGAAGCATCAGGGCCCATCCTGGGCCCTGTGGCCAGAACCTGGGTGGCCATAGGCAGGGGACCCGGGGAATAGCTAAGGTGGCTCTGGTGACAGACTCACCACAGGCTTTGTTGATGAAGGTAGTGGCGATGCCCGTGTTTCCCGAGCGCCCGGTGCGGCCAATCCGGTGTACTACAGAGAGAGGGACAGACTCTGGCCCACTGCTGGACGCCAGGTGCCTGGCTTGGCCCTTCCCCAGCCTAGCCCGTGCCCTTGGGCCCCAGGCCCCTACCATAGTTCTCGATCTCCTCCGGCATGTCGTAATTTATGACGTGCTGGATGGCAGGGAAGTCCAGGCCCTTGGAGGCAACGTCTGTGGCTACTAGGACATCCTTCTTGCCCTCCCGGAATGCCTCGATGGCCTTAGTCCGTTCCTCCTGGTCTGGGGAGGGTCAGGCAGACACTGTTAGAGCCACCACGGGATAGGGGAGTGGCAGGCCGCCCAACTAGGGGAAGATGTGAGGTAAAGCGTCGCTATTGCGGCAGGGTCCAAGCCAGTTGTGCACCACCCTGACCTTTGCCCCCATGGATGGCTACGGCCTCAACCCCCTTGAGCAGCAGGTACTCGTGGATGGCGTCCACGTCTGCCTTCTTCTCTGCAAAGATGAGTACCTGTCCGGAAAGACAAACTCCAGTCAGGGGCTAACTGCCTGGGCACCCGCTTCACCTCCCCCGGCACTCTGTCCCCTCCAAAGCCCTGCCTGGTCCTAGGGACTCTGGCCCCAACCTGGCCTGGCTGCACTCACAGGCGGGGGCGTCTTCTGCAGGCACTCGAGCAGGTACACCATCTTGGCCTCCTCCTTCACATATTCTACCTCCTGCCACCACAAGGTGATCTTGAGGTTAGGTTTACCCGCCATAGCCCTGCCACAGCCCGTCATCTGGACCATGAGGTGACCAGAAGCCTCTGGCCGCCAAGGGCTGGGTGTCCTAAAAATTTCCCTGGTTAAGGGTCAGGGGCTTTGAACGAAACCCCCAGTTCCCACAAGGTAGACCCCCGGCTCCAATCAGCTTCAGGGAGCCTTATCAGATCCAGCCCCCACAGGTGAGAGACCGCCCATCAGGAGCGCCGGCCCACCTGGATGACATCCAGGCTGGCAGCCCCAGCGCGCCCCACGTTGATGGTGACAGGCTTTACAAGGGCACTCTTAGCAAAGTTCTGAATCTTCTTCGGCATGGTGGCACTGAAGAGCAGGGTCTGTCGCTGGCCCTGAGGAAGTGGGGGGGTTGCGACCAAGGGCACGCAGGCCTGGGCTGAGGGGCATGGGGTCTGAGGAAGCTGAGCAACGGACACACAGCCCACGAAGTATGAGCAGTGGGTGGTGTGGTCAGAGGCGTGGGGTCTCCACAGTTTGATGTGGTGTGCAGTGGTGGGGTGGTGTAGGGGTGCCCTGGCTGGGCGGGGGCAGGCACCTTGAAGTAGGAGAAGATGGTGCGGATGTCGCCCTCGAAGCCCATGTCGATCATGCGGTCAGCCTCATCCAGGGCCAGGTAGCGACAGATGTCCAGGCTGACCATCTTCTTCTGCAGCAAATCCATGAGGCGCCCTGGGGTGGCCACCATCATGTGTACACCGCTGGGGACCAAGCAGAGACCCTGAGGTTGGGGCCACTGGCCTAGCACCTACCTTAAGGCAAGCAGGCACCCTGCATCTGTTCTGCTGCCTGTCCTCCTTCCTATTTCTTTGTCCCCTTCTCATCGTTCCCACCACCTGCCCTATGTATAGCACGCAACTCTCTCCCAAGGCGCTGCAGCCATCTTTACCACCGCTCAGCCTGGCACGCCCTTCCCCCTTCTCCTGGGTCAGTCCTCTCACCCAGAAGCGCTGTCCTGAAGCTCCAGAGGCTTTACTTGGGGCTCACTTTCCTGGTCCACTGGCTTCATCTTTTCTGTGCCCACATCTCCCTAAGACTCAGAAGTCCATAGAGAAAGGCCTCTGGGATGGGGTCTGGCCCATCTGTAAACAGAGGGCCTGGTCCAGGGCCTCCGGCGGTCTGCAGAGGACTGCACAGCACAGAAAGGACACAAGTGCCACTGGGATCCAGCCCTACCCCAGTGCCTCAACCTCCTTTACTGACCACTGAATGACCCTGACATTCCTGGGCCGTCCACCTCTGTGTTTTCAGCCTGGACTGCTCCTCTTCCAAATTCAAACGTCACCTTCCCTGCAAAGCCTGCTCTGAGCTCCCACCTCCCAGATGTCCCCAGCAAGGTGCGCCATTCCATCTGCTGTGCTCCCACAGCACCGGGCCACATCCCTCTGTCCTCCCCCAACTGACCTCCCCGTTAGACTGGGAGCTCCTCGAGGGCTGGACTCACAGCAGCCCTCTGTGCAGGTGTGTGGATCGAGGGCTGGACTCACAGCAGCCCTCTGTGCAGATGTGTGGATCGAGGGCTGGACTCACAGCAGCCCTCTGTGCAGATGTGTGGATCGAGGGCTGGACTCACAGCAGCCCTCTGTGCAGATGTGTGGATCGAGGGCTGGACTCACAGCAGCCCTCTGTGCAGATGTGTGGATCGAGGGCTGGACTCACAGCAGCCCTCTGTGCAGGTGTGTGGAGTGGCTAAGGTAAAGAGGTAAAGGGCCCTTTAGCTTTTCCACGGACTCGCAGGTGGCAGAGGTGGGGGCAGGGAGCGCCAGCACTCACTGTCGGATGGTCTCCATCTGCTCCTTCACGGACATGCCCCCAATGCAGAGCGCGCAGCGCAGGAGTGGTGAGCTGTCCTCCTGCAGCAGGCGGCAGTAATACTCCAGGATGCCATGGGTCTGCCGGGCCAGCTCCCGCTGCAGGCAGAGGGACAAAGGCTGGTACCAGATGGCAGCCCCAGTCTCTGGCCTGCCCTCCGGGCCAGCCTGTCTTACCGAGGGGCATATGATGAGTCCATAGGGCCCCTCGCGCTTTGAGAAGGGTAACCTCTTCTCTTGTTCCAGGCAGAACATGATGACAGGCAACGTGAACACCAGTGTCTTGCCTGAACCCGTGAAGGCGATGCCTATCATGTCACGGCCAGATAGACTGTTGGGAGAGGATGACCCGAGAGCCAATTTCAACAGAAGATGAAGGACACCTAGCCATTGCTCCTCCCCGTTCCCGCCCTCCTCAAGGACCCCAGGTCCACAGTCCACACTCACATGGTGGGGATGCCCTGGATCTGAATGGGTGTTGGGTGGTGAATGCCTTTCTTCTTCAGGCCTCTCAGGATGGCTATGAAAACCAACAGACAACGTCCTTGTGACTCACAGGTACTTTCTCAGAGCCCCAAAGCCTGTAAAACTGGCACTACCCCTATAAGTTGCAGATGATGAAACTGAGGCTCAGAGCAAGAGAGAGAGAGAGAGAGGAAAAAAAAAAAACAAAAAAGAGACTTGTCCAAGGCCCACAGGCTAGGTGCAGCCAGGACTTGTACCCAGTGCCTATGCCCAATGGCATTTTCCTCCTGAAGCTTCGTAACAGCAGAGAACAATGAACATGTACAGCTGGGGCAACAAGGAACCTAAAGAAACTTCTCCTCAAATCCCTCCAGCCCCAGTGACTGGATCCAATGCAGATGTGGCTGAACTCAGGGTGGGCTCGGACATAACCTCACAGGCACTTGATTATAAAAGTGTGGTATCTCTCTCCGGTCCCTGACTACCTGCAGGAAACTTCATTTCCTTGAAGCTCTTGATGGGTGGTGGGATACCGTCTCCCTCCACCAGGATGTGGTATTTCTTCCGCACGCGCTCATGTCGCTCTTCAGACATGCTCAGGACATAACGGGGCGGAGTCCAGCTGTGGATGGGTAACAGGGATCAAGAGAGCTCTGGGAACAGCTGGCCTGGGAGCAACCCATTGCATGTACCATTCTAAGCAAGGGCAACTGCAGACTGTACAAACATACCTGGTTTTGATGGGGTCATCATATGTGATGCCCTTGGCCATCTCCTTCACTGACATCAATGCTGAGGAGAAAGACATGGCTCAGGGCTGGCTCCTACTTCTGAGAAGCCAGATCCCTTGAGATATAACATGCCTGGGGCTGAGAGGAGGAGACTCAGTCTACCTCCTCACTATCCTGGCTACAACCATACCTCGGCCCTCAGCCACACTCTCCAGGATCTTCTCTTCTTCCTTCAGCTGCTTCTCCTTGGCAGACTCTTTGCGGGCTGAGAAAAGAAGTGGAAGATGTCAGACAGATACCAACACGGTGCGCCAGGCTCGGCTTCTCCTTTCCCGCCCCGGCAGTGCTGCCCAGCCCACCTTCAGCCTTCTCTTTAAGGTGCTGGTGCTGATCCAGGAGGCTGACGTTGGACTGAGGGCCTAGCGGGATGTCGTCCTCATCTCCCCGGGGTTCACTACCGCTGTCCTGCTGCTCTTCCTCCGCAGCTCCCTTGCGTCTTCGCTGCAGCAGCTTCTGGAGCTGAGGTTCCACCCGGGACCCACAGATAGAACGGGAATGGGGTCCACAGGCCCAGCGTCAGGATCCTGGCTTTGGGACGAGGATCCTGTGCCCGAGGCGCAGAACCGCCCTACCCCTCAGATCAGGCCGTCGGTCCCTCGTTTGTCTGGGGGCCGCGCCCCGGTGTACTGAAGCTCACTCCTCAGATTGCCCTCCCTACGACCGGCGGTCACGGCCCCATCCCTCCCCGGACGCGGGCCCCTCACCAGTAGCTGCCGGCGCTGCCGTAACGGCACATAGGGCACGTAGTCCTCGTCGTCCTCATCCTCCGCCTCGGAGCGGCTTCCTCCGGCAGGCACCTCGTCGGTGCGAGCCCGCTGCAAGCATACGTAAGTCAGGCACGGCCTGCTCCCCACTTCACGCCCGCTCTCACCCGCGAGGAGCCTCGCCTCTCTCCTACCTTCCGTTCGGGTTCCGACTCCTCCATTCTTTGCTGCACGCATGCGCGCCACGGCGAAACCCCGCCTCATCTTTGCGTGGGACCCAATCCGATGTGAAGAAGCGAACGTCGGCGCCTAGCAACGACCTCGGAGTTCCGGATCGCGCAGAGGGACAAATTTGCTCCGGAGCTGCTCTCGCACGGCGAAGCGTCGACGCTTTCCTGGGTGGTTACGCGACAGTTGCCAGGACCGAGGGCGAAACCGGCCGCAAGGCATTGTGGGACACCGGAGGACTTGGAGCATGCGCTAAAAGGCTCAACCCAGGCCCACCGGAAGAGGAAGACGCACGCAGCGAAGACCGCTGATCCGGAGTCGGGGCGGGCCGCTGGGTGCCCAACCTCTCCCTGAGCATGGCGTCTTGGGCACGCCCCTACCGGCGGACAGTGCGTCCTCTAGGGCTGGGAGCGCTGGGCCGAGTCCGCGTGGGCTGCCTGCGCTTCCATCCCTGCCAGGGCCGCCGGGGTTGCGGGATAAACCGCTCCACGCACCCTGCCGCCCTGACTGCGCCTGTGTGACACCTATGTTCAGTGGTGGGGGACGCATCAGAAACGGATGGCAGTGGTTTTGAACTGGGAGGCCCTGTATAAATGTAAACGGTTATTACTGTAAATGCCCTAACAGAGCTGCCTGGGGGGCGCTTCCAGGGAAGCGTGGGAATCTCAGGCTGGGAGAGGAGAGGCGTCCTGGGCCAGGGCGCTGCAGGAATACAGGTCTGGCGATGTGCAAGTACACAGATTCACCAGGCAACAGCATTGCGGCTAGGGTGGGATGGGGAAGCCGGAGCTAAGGCCAGAAAAGGAGATTGCGACCAGAGCATACCTGCTGTGACTCTCAGAGTAAGTGGTTTCAACTTTAATATTAGAGACTTCTAAGGAGGAATGACTTGGTCAGCTCTGTGCTTTCTTTCCTTCAAAAGTGTGTGCTGGGCATTGGTACTGCGCTCAAGCAGATGATAATCAAGACACATACCTGGTGTGCGAGGAGCTTATGGATTAGTTGACACTAGAAATAGAGACAGATAACTGGTCTTGAAGTTAAAGATTCTGGGGGCCGGGCGCGGTGGCTCACGCCTGTAATCCCAACACTTTGGGAGGCCGAGGCGGGCGGATCACGAGGTCAGGAGATCGAGACCATCCTGGCTAACACGGTGAAACCCCGTCTCTACTAAAAATAAAAAAATTAGCTGGGCGTGGTGGCGGGCGCCAGTGGTCCCAGCTACTCGGGAGGCTGAGGCAGGAGAATGGTGTGAACCCGGGAGGGGGAGCTTGCAGTGAGCCGAGATGGTGCCACCGCACTCCAGCCTGGGCGACAGAGCGAGACTCCATCTCAAAACAAACAAAAAACCTAAGACAAGGTACCGCTTTTGGAAGTGTCATAGTTTTCATAGTACAATGGCCTCTTAGCTGGGATGTGAAGGATACACAGGAATTCATGAAAAACGGGGAAAATTAAAGGAGGAGGAAAATATGTGAAAGTTGGGAGACCTGCGGTTGTGAGACCTTACTGGAGAGGAAGGTCGTCCAGCATGGCTGGAACAAGTACTGGAGTCAGGGGCCCAGGCACGAAGGTCCCAAATGCCACAGAAGTCATGGTAGATGGGCTGCTTGATCAGACCTGCAAATTTTGAATGAAGCAGAATTTTAGGTAGTGTTGCCAGTTCAACTGCAGGGCAGGAGTGTAGTACAAGAGCCCATGGGAGAGGGGAACACAGCCAATAAATTTACAGAGAAAGGTTTCACAGGGGTTTCACAGCGTCCACATTTCCCTTGGGGATTGGGAAAGACCAGGGACCAGGAATTGTGAGTCTGTGGGCACTGCTATTCTTTTCTTTAGTAAAGAAAGCTTAGGCTGGGCACAGTGGCTCGTTCCTGTAATCCCAGCTCTCTGGGAGGCCAAGGCAGGAGGATCACTTGAAGCCAGGAATTCGAGGCCAGCTTGGACAACATAGCAACACCTCCCATCTCTGTAAAAAAAAAATAAAGAAGCTGGTGCTTACTGCCAGTCCCTTGGTAGGTCTCAACCTGGGAGGGATGGAGGAGGATACATGGTTTCTGGTCCTGCTCACAACACCCAAATACATGACTCTTAGTGACCCTGTTAGCTCCCCACATAAATTTGAGTTGGTTTTAGGAGCAGAAACTAAATTTTGGGGCATGGAGTTTGGACACAAGTGTGTGAGGGGCATTTTGGGCAAACTCATAATATTAAAATCCAAATTTACAAACCAGATCCATTTCGGGGGATGAGGTAGTTTGCTTGACTTTACGTAAGAGTTCATTATCCTCTTAACTCTCAAGTCCTCAGCTACATGTCCCACCCCCACTGGAAAATCAGATCTAATTTATTTATTTTTTATTTTTTATTTTTTTTTTGAGACAGAGTCTTGCTCTGTCACCCAGGCTGGACTGTAGTGGCCGGATCTCAGCTCACTGCAAGCTCCACCTCCCGGGTTCACGCCATTCTCCTGCCTCAGCCTCCTGAGTAGCTGGGACTACAGGCGCCCGCCACCTCGCCCGGCTAGTTTTTTGTATTTTTTAGTAGAGACGGGGTTTCAGCGTGTTAGCCAGGATGGTCTCGATCTCCTGACCTTGTGATCCACCCGTCTCGGCCTCCGAAAGTGCTGGGATTACAGGCTTGGGCCACCACGCCCGGCCTAATCAGATCTAATTTATAAAAAAAGCTCAACTTACCCCCAACTTCCCCTGACTGTGTGAAGTCAGTGTGAGGGGCCTTGATGGCCCAGGCTACAGATCCTCAGGGTCTTTCCTAGACCTCTTCTGACATCCAGATGCACCGAGACCAACTTCAACCCCTCCAACTCACCCATCTTGCAAAGGGGGAAACAAGAAAGAGTGGGGAAGGGACTGCCCTAGGCTCACATACCAGAGACCTCCCAACAGGAGAAAAGGGCATAGAGGCCAGAGTCATACCAGCCTGTGCTCGAGCCTAATCGGCTAGACTGATTTCAGCTCAGTCACTTTCCTATTGGCTTCAGTTTCCTCACCTGTAAAATGGGACAGCAGTACCAAACTGCTGATGCATGGCACATGCTAGGGTTAGTGACTAAGGGAGAGCCCATGCTTCTGAGCACACCCTCGACTCCCTCCCCGCCCAGACCCGCAAATCACCAACATGCCAACTCTGTGTCCAAATGTTGCTTTATCTTTCGGCATGAAAGATCTTCACAGTATCAAAAGTAAAGAATTGGAAAAAAATAAAACAAAAACAAAAACAAAAAAACTGAACACAAAGAGAGCAGTGCTGGGCTAGCAGTACCATCAGCCCCGGCCCTTAGGCCAGCCCAGTCCACGGGCTCTGAGTGTGGAGGCTGCGTAGCACCAGGAAGCGGCTCTGCTGAGGTCAAGGGGCCCCAGCACAGTGTGGCATCCGTTCAGCTTTTGGTTGGTCCAGGATGGTGGGGAGCAGAGAAGGTCTTGGGCGGGTAGGTGGGGCACACGGAAAAATTGTAGGCCTTCAGCTGGCAGTCGGGGCCTCAGGACGCCCTGAAGAAGCTCAGCCTGGGCAGGGCCTGAGAAAGAAAAAAAGAGCAGAATCACAGTAAGCGACGGCCCATGCTCCAGCCTCCCCATGCCATTTGGGTACCCATGGGTCTCTGGTAGCAGGAACAGCTGGCTATTTTTGTTCCCTGGGCTGAAAATGTTGAACAGATTCCCTGAATCACCTGTAGCAGAGGAGGCAGGTTAATGGGTTGGGAGACAAAGCCCCAGTCCTGGGATCCTGACAAGGTGTGGGACAATCCTTGAGTAGATCCAGCCTTTGGCACTTGCTGTCCATCAGCAGGGGCCAGGAGGCCAGCTATGCAGCTGTGCTCCTGCCTCTGACTCCAGGTACACAGCCCGGGGGAGGGTGAAGAAGGTCAAAGGAGAGCACTTTCTAGGGGGTGGGGAGAGGGGCATCTGCTATCTTGGAAAAGAGGCCAGACCAGGTGAAAAAGGGTCAAGAGGAGGGAGTGGAAGGAGACAATTGCGTTTGATTGCTTGGATGACAGAACTGGGCTTGTAGGAGGAGACGCGATCTCTTTTCTCTCAGTAGGGATAACAGAGGAAGTGCCTGGGGTTCCTGCTACTCCTGATTCCCATGGAGGTGGAGAAGAGAGGCGGGATGGCACCCTGGATCTGGAAGATGCTTCTGGGGCTTGTGGGCATCTCAATTTGGCAAAGGGGGCTGACTGAGCCCAGCCCCCTCCGAGCAGAGGAGAACTAAAGTGAACATAAAGACTCTGGACTCTGGGGCGGCACAAGGGTCATAGGGAGCCCTAGCTCTGAAGGCTGTCCTGGCTGCAGGCTCTCTGAGCTGCCCTTGGGGAGCTAAGGGTCCAGGAAGTTTGCTGCTTAGGCCCAGAGAGGAGCTGGCCTGGCACTGGAAAGAGGAGAAAGACAGGTGGGGCCATCATAGGAGAAGCGAGTTGTTTGTGAGCTCGGTCTGCCTGCCCCAGCCTTCTGTAGTCTCCAGGACAGCTATGTGGTTGCCAGCCAGAAAAGGCCTGACCCCAGGGACGCAGCTGAGGATTGAGATAGGAAACTGCAGAGCCACTCAGCCCCCAGCCCAGCCTAAGGCCTGCCTGCTAGCTGCCCTTCTCTTCATCAGTAGGGTTCCAGGCCCAGTGCCTTCTCCAGTTTTCTGTTCCCAGTCCAGATCATCATCTGGTACATCATTGTTTCAGACAAAAGGACCTGTGTGGGTGGCTGGGAGAGGATTCCAAAGCCATTTGGCACCCAGGTCTCTTCTTATAGGAGGCAGTGTGGCTACCAATATCCTCATGGAACTTGTCCTGCTTTGGGGAGCTGCCATCAACTCCTCCAAGCCTAAATGACCTACAAGCCTTCGGCCCAGCCCATCTGCACCCCCACGATGTTCACTCAGGGCTGGCCCCTTCTTACACTGCTTCAGCTAGGAAGCACCTTGGCAGCCTACACTGAGGAGCCCAGGGCAGGAAGTGGGACTTGACACAAGGACTGATAACATCAGGGGTGAGGACAGCCCCCATGGGTCTGATGGCTATCTGGGCACTTTTGAAAGCAGCTGGTAAGACCCTGCTGGTGATGCCCTAGGAGATGCCAGTCCAGGAAGGGGACCTTCAGGAGCATGGGCAGGAGGGCCCAGGGAGGAGTAATAGGAGAACAGAGGCCTACAGGTGAGTAGCTGTAGGAGGAGATGGGGCCTAGATCTTTGGAGGCTGTAGCCAACTGTGCCATTGCTGTGGAGGTGCAGACAGAGGCCAGGGCTCCCATGCCCAAAGCCCAACTCCCTATGCCCCAGAGCACAGAATGGTCTGGCGGGGGTATAGAGTGTGGCCAAGCACAGGGAGAGGCAGTGAATGTAACTCTTGGGATCTCTGTACCTCACTGAGCTGTGCTGGGAGTGGTTTTCTTGAGGCTGAAGTTGGTCCAGTTCACAGCAACTTTCTGACGAGTCTGCTTTGCAGAATCCAAACAGAACCTGTTGGGTTTGGGGGACACAGGAGTACAATCAGAGGTTCCTTCTCTTCCTCACTGGACTCCTAAGGTACCAAGTCCCCATCACTAAGAAACCAGGTTCTCTACACAACCTCTTTGGCTCTCAGGTGTTAGTGTTTAGCAGGCATAGGAGCTTTGCTGGCTTGGTGGCTTCTGGACTGGGTCCAGGGGACAACGTATGAAGACAGTGAAACTGCCTTGGGATTCTACTTCCTTCCTCATCTGGTATTTGACTCTCTAGCTCTGCTGGGCTGGCTTCCATCATTCCCTTAAGTACAGTCGTCCCTCTGAATCTGCTGGGGATTAGCTACTCAGATGTCGAAATCTGCAGATGCACAAGTCCCTTATATAAAAAATGGTGTAGTACTTGCATATAACCTGCATGGCTCTTCCCATATACTTTTATTATTATTATTATTTTTTAATAAGAGATGGGGTCTCACTATATTGCCCAGGCTGGTCTTGAACTTCTGAGGTCAAGCGATCCTCCCACCTTGGCCTTCGAAAGTGCTGGGATTACAGGCGGGAGCCACTGTGCCTGGCCTTCCCATATACTTTAAATCATCTCTAGATTACTTAAAATACCTAATACAATGTAAATGCTATGTAGTTATATTTTTATTTTTATTTATTTTTGAGACAGAGTCTTACTCTGTTACCCAGGCTGAAGTGCAATGGAACAATCTTGGCTCACTGCAACCTCTGACTCCCAGGTTCAAGCGATTCTCTTGCCTCAGCTTCCCAAGTAGCTGGGATTACAGGCACCGCCACCATGCCTGGCTAATTTTTGGATTTTTATTAGAGACAGGGTTTCACCATTTTGGCCAGGCTGGTCTCAAATTCCTGACCTCAAGTACCTCAAGTGATCCGCCCCCCTTGGCCTCCCAAAGTGCTGAGATTACAGGCATGAGCCAACGCCTGTAAAAATACATATTTTTTTGAGACAGAGTCTTGCTCTGTGGCCCAATCTCAGCTCGCTGCAGCCTCTGCCTCCCAGGTTCCAGCGATTCTCCTGCCTCAGCCTCCTGAGTAGCTGGGATTACAGGCACGTGCCACCATGCCTGCCTAATTTTTGTATTTTCAGTAAAGACAGGCTTTCACCAAGTTGGCCAGGCTTGAACTCCTGACCTCAGGTGATCTGCCCGCCTTGGCCTCCCAAAGTGCTAGAGTAAGAAGCATGAGCCACTGTGCCTGGCCAAAAATACTAATTTTAAAAATTTTGCATTATTTAGTAATGTATTGGTATTTTTTTTTTTCCTGAATATTTTTGATTGCAGATATGGAGGGTGACTATGCTGTGTTTCTTTCACCCTAATCTTCTGTACTCACTGCCCCCCTTGGCATGAATACCTTTTCATCTTGTCTGGCCAACTCATTCTTACTCTTCAGGTTTCAACTTGGTTACCACCTCTCCTGGGAAGGCCTCCTGGCCAGCCCCCACCCCTTCTATCCTCCCCAACCCTATGCCATGTATCAGTAGGCTGCATGTTCATGGCCATCTAGACTCCTGGTCCAGACTGCTTCACTGACCTCAGCCCAGGCAAAGCAGAGAATGTGCAAGTGAAGACACAAAGTGAACATAGCTGGAAAAAGTCCTGGTTCTGGGGGCCTGACATGTATATAACCTGCATGGCTCTTATATGCATGCCTCCTCCTGTCTCTCTTGCATATTCCTAGATGCGCCATCCTGCCCAGTTGCTCCGTGGATTTTCAGCAGGCAGGCTGGTGGGAGAGGGCCTGGGGTGGGGGGCGGTGAGCCTCCCCAAGGGGTCAGGGCCAAGGGAGCAGACCTTTTTGAGGCTTGAGACACAACACGGGGCTTGAGTGTGGGCAGGACCTGGAGTCCTCCACAAGTGGGAGAGCAGGCAGCCCACACCTACCTCTTAAAGTACTCCACCTCTCGGTCAGTCTCATCCATCTCCACCCCGTCCATGTCCTTGGGCAGGAACACATCGTCTAGGAAGACACAGCCAGGAGGGCTCAGTGCCCATGGCCAGGCCTCTGGGGTTATGCTCTGGGGGCAGCACTGCCTACACACAAAGGCTGCCCCTCCACCCCGTGGCCTGGCTGGGGTAGGGGTCAGCCGCTCGGTTCCTGGTGCACTCACCCAAGGAGGAGGCTGGCTTCTCCTGCTTGTTGCGGCTCCGGCGGCTGCGGCCCTTGCCCTGGGGCAAGCTCTGTGGCCTTGCTGGGCCTGGGGGCTGCACAGACTCCTGCTCCTGAGGCCGTGCCTTGGCCTCGCCTGGCCAGTTTCGCCAGGAGCTGCCCTTCTCCTTCTCAGTTTTGGGGCTGCCAGCCCAACCTGGTCCTGGCCGGCTCCCCCGGCTCCCCTCTCCAGCTTCGGAACAGCTGCCTACTTTGGGAGGCTCTAGGACCTTGCCTGGCTGCTTGGGGCCAGCAACCTGGCCCTTGGCACTGGGAACCTCTAGGCTGGCTGGGGGCCGGGGGGCTGGGCTTGCCTCGCTCTTCTTGGCCTGACTGCCCTGCCTCTTGCCCTTCCGCGGCTTCCCACCTGAGGACACAGGCTCAGGCAGCTCCTGCTTGCAACTGGGAACTTCCTTTGAGCTTGGCTCCTCGGAGCTGGGGTAGCCCGGCTTGGGTGTCTTGACCCAGATCACCCGGGACAGGTTGGGCACGGTGTTGAGTCTCCTCACGAGCCCGTTCTCGGGAGCGATACCGGGAGGGGGCCCCCTCACCTCTGTCCATGGTGGGTGGGGGCCTCTCATTTCTGCCCATGGTGGGGCTGGCTCGCCTGGAGCTTGTAACGTGTGGTTCTGAGGGGAGCCCAAAGTCAAAGGGGACAGGTCAAGGTTGATGTCAGGCTGCTGCTCTGAGGAGCCACTGAGGTTTGATGGGGATAGACTCTGAGGCTCGGGTTCAGGAGCCCCCTCCTTAGAGAAGCCATTGCTGTCCATGCTGAGCTCACACATACTGAAGCTGGCACGGATGGAGTCTTTGACAGTGTTTTTGATCTCCTGCAGACGGCTGCTCAGGAAGCTGTTGACCCGATCCAGTTCCCGGTCGGGCCACTCCAAGAGCCTCTCCCTGGCAGGCCTTTGCTCCCGGCTTCCAGAAACACGATTCGCCTGCTTTAGAGCTTCTGCTGCCAACTGGGCCTTCTCCTTTTCCTGCCAAGACAAGAGGCAGTTTTAGCAGGGGCTGTCAACTGCCAGGCACAATGTGATACCTGACCCATCAGCCTGGGGCCCAGCTTTGCCACTAACTTGCTGGAGGCAAAGCCTTAAAATCCTAGCCTGCTTACCCACCCTGCAGGAGTGACAGCAAACTGCAGCCAGACAGGTGCATGTCCTGGGGGCAGGGGTACAGTCACGCCCACAGAGGGTAGGGTTTTTACAGCTTGTTTACCCAGAGCCCCAGTCTCAGTGGACTCATCTGCAAAATGCGGACAATAATTTCGGAGTAAAGCCAAAGTGGGGATGCATGTGAAGAAGACCACTACTAGAGAGGCATTCTCTCTACCCCTGCGCTTGGTAGGGAAAAAGCCATGCCATCACGGGGTCTTACAGCAGGCAGGTGTGGGGGTAGATGAGACTGCTCTGGTTGGGAGGACATGTGCCTTCCTGATACCATATCTGGGTATTACTAAAGAGGACAGTGTTCCCATAGAAAGGCCAGTTGCTACACACTTGGTCTCAAGTAATCAAGGCCACATCTAGAGTGTGCCCAAAGGCATGCCATGGACAACCACACTGGCCTACACAGCCAAGACGTGAGAGCTGCTCCTTTGCCCAGGTGAGGCCTGGAAGGCTCAGAGAGGCCAGGCCCTGCTGGTTGGCTTTGATAGACCTGGATCTAGGGAATCAAAATGAAAGTCTATGGGATCTGAGTCACCCCAACCTCTCCATCCCACCTCAAGGCCAATGACGCCTTTAGAGGGAGACAGGAGGCAGATACCAAAACCCTCGGGAAGGAGGTGGCTGTGGTGTGCCTGGCACCACTGATTCCCACTGCCTCCTGTACTTCCAGCTGATTTGGGAATGGAGGAAAAGAACATGAAAGGGCAGCTGGTGAGAGAAACCAGGGCTTGCTACCACCTCAGAGTCAATGTAAAGAGGGTGGCCCTGCGTCCCACCAGGCAGGCACTTATCTTTTGTGAATCCTGGCTCCACAATGGACTACAGTCGATTGTTCTGTGGGACCTTGGACAAATCACTTATTCTCTCTGAACCTTACTTTCCCTATTTGTAAGTTAGGAGGAAGAGGTACTCTATATTCCAGGGTCACACTGAGGACAGCTGAGAGTCTGTGTGGGGTCCTTTCCCATGTGCAAAGGTGGGGCTGGGCTTCATGGCCCGCAGGGAGCAGCTTTTCTAGCTGTGGGTAGGGCTCAGAGGCCCTGGGTTAGACCAACGAGGACCAAGGGCCCTTCACCTCGCTCCCCCAGCACCACACAGATTTCACAAAGTTTTGCTACTAAAACAAAAAGTCTGACTACTGGTGTGGAGGGAATGACATGGAACCATATACACTCTGGTATCAAGAGGAGAAAGCACAGAAACACACACTTTCTGCTTTGTACCGTGAGCACTTCCCATAGATGTCTCCTTTAATCCTCGCCACTGTCTTTGCTGCATCATGACCCTCTGCTTATAGGTGAGAAACCTCGACTTTGGAAAGAACAGGAGGCGGCGGCGGCTAGGAAGTGGCAGAGCCAGGACAATATACCCAGGCCTGATCTTCAGAAGTTCCTATGTTTCTCAATTCCATCTGATGACCATTTACTGACCATTGAGGCTGTGAGGCAGCAGGCCAGGCCCTGTGAGTTTAGCGTATGTGAGACATTCTCTGCCTCGCTGACTTTAGTCTGCTGAGGGAGACAACAGCAAACAGCCTGTTGAATTCAGAGTGACAGTGACAAATGCTGCATGGAAGGAAGCACAGGGTGATCTGGGAACCTAGAGGAGATGCTCCCAACCCAGACTGGGTCACCAGGGAGTGCTTTCTGGAGGCAGCAGGATCTGCACTGAGCACTGAAGGGGGAGTGGGATCATCCTGGAGGCAGTGGGACAAGCATTTTCTAGAGAGAAGGAATAGCAAGCGGAAAGGCCGGAAATGGGAAAGCTCGGTATCTTCTGGGAATACAAATAATTTAAAAGTACAGCTGTAGCCCAGATTTTTTGGGGGATGTGGGGGTTGGGTGGGGCAGGTGGGTAGGAAGGTCAGAAAGGAGAGGCTGAGAGATAAAGCTGGCAAGCTGGCAGGGGCAGATCGTGAAGAGCCCTGCAGGCCCTACAGAGTTTGTGCCTGAGGGCAGTGTCCAGCTACTAATGGCTTTTAAGGTAGTGGCAGTAGGGTGGAGAGCAGTGGACGGGTCTGACCTATCAGCGACGTGGCATGGATAGGGCTTTTGGTGATGGGTAGGGAGACAGAATGAGAAGAGTCAGAGAAACATTGACGGCCACTATGGCTGCCACAGCAGCCCCACTGCCTGAGCACTCACACGTGCCAGGCACTCTGCCCAATCTTTCCATGCATTGCTCCATTTCATCCTCGCAATAATCTATGACTTAGGTTCTGTTATTCTCATTTTATGGATGAAGAAACTGAGGCTTAGAGGTTAAGTGATTTGCCCAATGTCATACAGCAAGTGTGGCTGAGCCAAGTGTCAAACTGAGATCCAGTTCCAGGCACGCTGCTCCGGGTTGCTATAATGCACTCCCCAGGCTGGCGCCCAGAACTCCGGCTCAGGCAACAGGGTGGGAGGCGGTGCCATTGACTAGAGAGACAACAGAGAAGGGATAGCAGGCCTGTTTGGAGAAAGACAACAAGCTGAAATTTGTATGTGTGGAGTCTGAGATACCTGTGGGACATCCACGAGGAGGTGTCCAGTAGCAGTTGGAGACGTGGATATGCAGGGCGGGAAGGAAACACTATTTGGCTCTTTCTAGATGGCATCTCTCTTTCCCAGGGAGATGTCCCCATGAAGGAGGGTCAAGTGGAGGAAGAGGAGCTCACAAAGGAGACAGAAAGGATGTCAGAGGCAGGCAAGACATCTGGAGAACATGATACTCCCCCTTCCCTTTCCTGCCTGGCTGAGTGAGGTCAGAGGAGCCAAAGACAATGCGTGAAATGGAGAACACACACAAAATGCCAGCTATTCTCTAGTGGACGAATACGACAGGAACAGGAGAGCAGGATGGATTTGGCAACAAAAAAGTCACCAGTGACTCTGGAGAGGGTGTGGGTAGAAAACAGTCTGCAGTGAGCTAATGGGTGGAAGTGAAGACAGTGAATGCAGACATCATTTTTCAAGAAATGTGGCTGTGATGAGAGGAAAGAGGCTGGAGAGGGGTTGAGAGAGAGGTAACAGTCTCAGGGAGCAGTTTGCTTCCAAAAAACAGAGTGATGGGCACAATGAAATGTGGATGGGAACAGCACAGAGGAGAGGCTAAGCTAGACCAGGAGCCTACTGCTGGGCTGAGGGGTCAAGAAAGTACTGCACGGGCCTTAGGCAGGAAAAGGGTGACTCTCATGACAAGGAAGAAAGTATGTTTGCAGGTGGGAATGGCAAAACAGTGGGAGAATCCCTGTACAATGGCTTTTTTCCTCATTGAAATCGAAAGTGAGGTTATTTGACAAAAAATAAGGTGTGGGCTGGGAAGGTCTAGTGGTTTGAGAAGACTGGAGGCCTGACAGAAGGACTGTGGGGAATGGACGTGCTAAGGCACAGGAAGCCCAGGGAACCATGAGAGGCCCGCCTGTGACACGGGAGCTCAGCAAGCAGAAGCCCACCCACATGGCCGCCTGCCACAGATTCACCCACATGCTTTTCTTGAGCTGTAGAAAGGGAGAGCCAGGCTGGGGTGGAACCCAGGGCTGTGGTGTTTGAGTGGGTCTGAAAGAAAGATAGCGGGACAAGGAACTGAGTACTGGTGAGTGAGTGAGAGATGGGTAATTTGCCTGCCCTCCTACCAATACTTACAATACTTACTCCATTCAAGTGAGTGAGGAACGGACTGGCCTGGGAAGAAGAGAAAGGGGGAGGAGAGTCTTCAGTGGATGTGGAGGAGTGGCCAGGAGGTCACAGATGACAGAGCCAGGGGTGCAGTTTTTAAGAACCAGGGTGAGCGTCTCTCTGCTCCCTTCTCCCACTGCCAGCCCGTGACTCTCTCACCTTCGTGTAGACAGAAGACACAAAGACAAGGTGAGAGAGTCACGGGCTGGCAGTGGGAGAAGGGAGCAGAGAGACACTGAGCTCTGTCCATCTCCTGAGGCAGGAGAGAAGGAGCAGCTGGGCTTTCGTGGAGAGCCAGACTGTGAAGTCCAGGAGGTGGAGGGAGACAAGGGAGAAGGCTGCTGTCTACAGAGATAATGGCCATAATCACTTAATGCATGCCACTGCCACTGCGTGTCTGTCCCTGCCTGCAGCCCCACGACTAAGTCTGGAAAGGGAGGGCTGCCTGGTTCCAGCTGGGCCTGCCAGACAGGAGCTGTGCAGTGTGGGATGAGTGAGCAGAGCCTCCAGATATGTGAAGTGGGATGGGAGTACAGTGGAAGTTACCCAAGGATGGCTATGAAGGAGGAAACAGCTGAACTGAACTTGGAAGGAAAGTTTGTCAGAAGAAAAGGTGAGAGAAGATAGCATTATCAGTAAAGGGGAAGAGACATGTGGGCACACATATTTATGAAAAGCACACCAGACTTGGGAACTGCCAGGTGTGCTCTCTGGGGACTTAACTGGGAAGCACTGCCCTAAGAAGCCAGGAAAGGCCAGAGACTGCTGCAGCCCACTGAACCTTTCTGGCTGGGTGATTCTGCATGGGAGAAAGATAGTGCTGACCCCTTTCAGAAGGCAGCGGTGGGACCCCTTGGCTCACTACTTCAGGTGGCAGGAGCAGGATCCTGGTTGTCCTTGGGGCTGAAAAAGGATGGTGAATCACTTCTGCTTTCCAAAGCACTAGGGCTGTTTGACCACCCAGGAACTGGAACTAGCTGGTTGTTACACCCAAATCTCTTCGGATGCTGGGCTCCCAAGCGTGTCACTGTGCAGATGCAGTTGGGAGTAGGCAGGTGAACAGGTAATGAAGCCACAAAGGACAAGCCATCAAGCTCCGGGGCTCATCTGGCAGGAAGGCTGCCCAGGAATGGTTCACCAGGTTCTGTCCTCAGTCCCGAGGACTGGTTCATTCCCCTGGCTTCAATTACATCTCTGTGCTGGTAAATGCTAGCCCTGCACTTCTCCTCTGAGATGTCTCACAGGAACCTTCAAGTCAACATGCCTCAACTGAATTCACTGTCTTCTGCAAATCCCATCCTGGCTCAGTGAAAGGTACCACCATCTTGCTGGTCACCAAGCAAACACCTGGGAGACATCCCTGCCTCCATCTCCCTCTCCTGCCATCAGATCAAAGGCCCATCACTTCGGCTTTCTCTGAAAATCCCTCTCTTCTTCTCTGGCCCCACTATCAATCATCACTCCCTTGGCCTGCATTTCCTGCCTGAGGCATCGAACTCAAGGTCTTCCTGCCTGGAACCCTCCAAGCTACCTTCCATTTGGCCATGCCATAATCTTAGGATGCACGTGTGACCAACTGCATTCTCTGATTAAAACCCTCAGTGACTTCTCTCACTGGTAGGATAAAGCCAGAGCTCTTCCGCAGGGCCTCGAGGGCCCTCCCTCAACAGTGTCCATCCCGCCTCTCTTCTGCTCAGTTTTGGCTGTCAAGCTGCTGTGGAATGTGCCATGCCTGCTGCCAGGACGGCCCTCCTGAGGAGTCTGTACTCACAGTCAGCCTCTTGTAAAGCCATTTCCAGGCAGGATGGGGGACTTCCCTCATCCCAGTACTTGTCACATGCTAATATGCTTGTCCAGTTTTGTGTCAGTCTCCCCACTGGGCAGCTTCTCCTGGGTGAGAACTTAACTGTGTCACACTTTGGCTGCCAGTATTTGTAGAAGTGTTTGCTGAATGAATACATGACTGAAGCAAGTCCTCAGCTTGGAGGAATCCAGCAAGCAGCTTCTCAGGACACGACACGTTTTTTCCTCCAGTTATTTGCCCCCAGGCTCCCTGACCCTGATGCCTCCCCAACTCATTCAGACCTTCCCAGAACAGTGAGCCAAGCTGAGGCTTTTGGCAGCCAGCATCATTCACGCCCCAGAAGTCCTGGGGGTTGGGGCGAGGGTCCTCAGGGAGGAGAGATGGCAGAGCTGGGCTCTCCCTACACCCACCTTCTTTTTCAGCTTGTGCCGGGCCCGCTTGGCGGCCCTGGCGCTGTTGGGGACTTTGGGCTCCGTGCTGTTGATGAATTCCAGCAGCTCATCCACATCTCGGTGGTCCACGGCGGGCTCCCCAGGGATCCCGCCCAGGGCGCCCCCCTTCATGGGCAGCTCCTCTTTCCGCCTGGTCAGCCTCGAGCGGAGCTTCTCCCGGATCTCGGTATAGTTCCGACTCGTCGGGGCAGCGGGCGGCTGGTGGGGGGGGAGGTGCTGACATTACACCCTGGGCCTGGGAGGCCCATAGCACTCCCACCCGCTGGCACCAAGTATGTGATGAGAAGCAAGACAACTGTTCTCTCTACCATTAGCCACCAAGGCCACATGGCTTCACCCTGTCAGCCAGGCTGAACCCAGGTGGCAGTGGGTGAAGGGACTAGGAGGGAACAGGGCAGAGCTGGGCAAACACTGACTGGGGAGCCAGGAAAGCAAGTTGGAGCCCGGGCTTCGTCACCGGGAAGCTGTATGACCTTGGGCGAGTCACCGAGTCTTTGTGAGCCTCAATTTTGTCATCTCTAAAATGAGGATAATAACCCCTAGCTCAAAGGTGACTAGCAATTTAATTACTTTCATTTCTTCTATCCTCAACTGCTCTACCCTAACCAGCGGCCCTCTCCTCTTCACCTTATGAGACTTCTGCACTGCTTCCTCCCCCTGGCCAGAGCCAGCATGCCCTCTGATCTGAGCCTCCTTCCTGGCGCCGTCTGTGCTCACGGCCTGTCCCTCGGCTGGCTGTCACACTTGGGGGACTGAGAGCCTTTTTGCTTCCACTCTGCCTTCATCACGCCCAAGCGTTCACTTCTCTGGGATTACACACGTATACATACTCATCAGAATCATAGCTTTCTCTCTGCCATTTCCTTTCCTTTTGCCTAAGGAAAAAAAGTCAATCTTAAGAGAAACCACGAGAAGAGCAAAGGTAGCAAAATGTTAAAAAACCCCGATCTCACGAATGTGCTGTGAGGATCAAGCGAGCGGACGCAGGTGCAAGGACTCATGGACCCAGCGCGGTAATCGCCACCGTGAGCAAAGGGTCTCTCTGGGGAGAGCAGTGTGCTCCTTTTGCTCACCTGGGCTGGCCCCCAGCCCTCTCTGGCCTGGGCAGGCTCACTCACCGCATTGTGGCCGAAGAACTCACAGTAGCAGCAGTCACAGAACTTCCCATCTCTCTGGTGGGTGGAGGACGAGGTGCAGGAGCTTCGCTCAGAGCTGCTATCCTCTTCCTCACCCAGCCCCTCATCTGCCTCGCAGGGCTGGGGCAGCTGGCAAGCCAGGCCACTGTGTGCAAACTTGTGCCCCTTGCACCCGGGATCCCTGATGATGGGGAGGAAGGCCCAGAGGTGAGGGAGGGTGATGCAGGAGCCCAGGAAGCATCCCAACCACCACCTGCTGTCCTGACCGCCCTTCACTTGCCCCACTCCACAGAGGTCCCAGGCAGTCCAACTACATTGCACCTCTCACCAGAACAGGGCGAACACCTGCACTGTCCCTCAAGGCCCATCCCAAACACAAATGTGGCTCTTCTGGAAAGGTTTCCCCACACCTCCCCTGCCTGCACCCACCATGCACCCCTTCTCAGGCTGCTGTGCACACCTCACTCCATCCTCTGCTTACTGTGCCTCACGGTCATGGTCTGTCTGCGCATGTGTCTCTTAAACTGGACTGTGCGCCTCAAGGGCAGGGGCTGTATTGCTTCAGTTTTGGGTCCCAGTGTGTAGCATAACAACCCGGCACACAGCAGCTGCTCAGTAAATAGGCCTGAACCCATTGGTGGGCTGATGGCTCCTCTGGAACACTCAGGGCTATCCATGAGGTCAGTCTCCTTTCACTTTCTAAGGTGCTTCTGAGCAGACTCTGGTGCTCTGGAGCAGTAGGTGGAGCTGCCTTAACCACAGGGCATGGAGTTGAGAACAAGCGAGTGACTTCTGGGACACCAACTATAAGAGCCACTGTTTGTGCCAGGTTCTGGATTCGGCATCTTATTATTTTTTTTTTTTTGAGACAGAGTCTCGCTCTGTTGCCCAAGGCTAGAATGCAGTGGCACAATCTCGGCTCAGTGCAAGCTCGACCTCCCAGGTTCATGCCATTCTCCTGCCTCAGCCTCCCGAGTAGCTGGGACTACAGGTGCCCACCACCACGCCTGGCTAATTTTTTGGTATTTTTAGTAGAGACAGGGTTTCACTGTGTTAGCTAGGATGGTCTCGATCTCCTGACCTCATGATCCACTTGCCTTGGCCTCCCAAAGTGCTGGGATTACAGGTGTGAGCCACCGTGCCCAGCCTTGGCATATTGTCTAACCATCCCCCAAGTCCTGCAAAATAAGTGTCATTATCCTCACTTTGCAGTGGTGGAGAGTGAAGCTGAGTACTTGACTGCTTTGCCCAACAGGTGGCCAGGACTCAAGGATACAAACAGACCGTGACAATAATGCATGATAAACAGGAGGATAAAGTGAGGTATGCATAGTGCCCTGAGAAGGCGTGCATGGTGGATGCAGGCAGGGGAGACGTGGGGAACTCAAGCCCACGTTTCTCTCTATGCAAAACTCTACTCTCTCCACTGTAGTGTTCTGCCTCTGGATTTCAGGAAGCACTGGGATATCTTGTAATACAGAATATTTTCCCAGGGTAAGAATGAGGCATATGCCTGAAACATCCCATAATTTGAGCCAGGAAGAGCTGAAGCCTTAGGCTGGGCCATGAGCAGCTGAAGCACCCATTGGGCTGGTCCCAGTGCTAGGCTGCGGCTGAGGTTGCAAGGGAACCGAGAGCAAGGACGGCGCTCGAAGGAGCTGTGTGGAAGTCCAGCTTCCAGGGCAGTCCAAAGCAGCCCTCTACTAGAAAGGATGCTAAGCATGTGACATGGATTAAAAAACATGGTGGCAGGAATCATTATCAGTGGTGGTTACAGAAGTTTATTCTAAATCAACCATTCATTATCTATTGCATTAGCAAAATTGATTTTTTTTTTTTTTTTTGAGACGGAGTCTCACTCTGTTGCCCAGGCTGGACAGAGTGCAGTGGTACAATCTCGGCTCACTGCAAACTCCGCCTCCTGGGTTCATGCGAGTTCTGCCTACCTCAGCCTCCCAAGTAGCTGGGACTACAGGCACACGCCACCTGCCCGTCTAAATTTTTTTTTTTGTATTTTTAATAAAGACAAGGTTCACCATGCTGGCCAGGCTGGTCTGGAATTCCTGACCTCGTGATCTGCCCGCCTCAGCCTCCCAAAGGTGCTGGATTACAGGCAGGAGCCACTGTGCCTGGCCCAGCAAAACTGAATTTATTTTTTATTTTGAGACTGGCTCTCACCTTGTTGCCCAGGGTATAGTTCAGTGGCACGATGTCAGCTCACTGCAGCCCTATATCTCCCAGGCTCAAGCGGTCCCGTCCCACATCAGCCCCCACAACACTGAGTAGCTGCGAACTAGAGGCATGCCATCATTATGCTCCACTAGTTTTAATTTTTTGTACAGGACAGGCCCTCATTAGTTGCCCCGTACTAGTCTACCGCAACTCCTGGGCTCAAGCAATCTTTCTGCCTTGCCTCCGCAAACTGCTGGGATACGCATGAGCTGTTGCACCAGGCCACAAAATTGATCTTAGAAAATTAAAATAGTGTGCCTGCAAATATGGGAAACCAGCATCATTGGTGGTTACATCAATTTGGAGACCCTTTGGATAGCAGTTTTCAATGTGTATTAAGAACCCTCAAAAGAACAAAAAAACACCTAAACAGCCTTTAAACTAGTAACTTTTTTCATTTTTCTGAGAACTTGATTCCAACAAGAAAAATCCAAAAGAGGGAAAAGGCTTTAAGCAAAGGACATATTTAGAGACACTGTGTTGGTAATGTTAAAAATGTCGGAAAAACCCAAATGCTCAGCAACTGGAGAACAATAACATGAACTGCGGTCAATGTTCCTCCAGCCTTTGAAGCTGGGCTAAGAACACCACACACAGAACACAAATATGCTGAGGAGGCAACACTAAGTGAAAACCGGGCGGGTGGCAGACTGCAGACACTGTCAATCCAGCATGTGCAAGACACAGGAAGACTTTCCAATAGGAAAAATAGAAACGGCATGATAAACACAGATCTGATTTCTAACATAAAAATATACCTCTATCTTCTCCAAAGAATTATCTTTCAAATATATGTTAGTATAACCTTTCTCAGTACTTAGAGTTACTTTCTAGGAATCTCCCCAAAGGACATGATTTCTCATTAAACAGATTTAGGTGCAGGGGATGCTTACTACAGTCTCATTCATCATGGTTAAAACTGGAAATGCCTACATGTCCAGGAACAGGGGAATGATAAAGTATGCTGTTGAGCTATACAGTAAGACATTATATGGCCATTGAAAAGGTTTCTTGAAGAATTTTACCTGGGGAAATGATCATGACATGATGTTAAAAAATTACTACTACACGAAAGGTATATCAGATATCTAATTATGTTATTTATATACAGAAACATGGTGAAAATATACCACAGTGGTAGAAGCTTAGGTTGTGAAGACATTTTTTTTCCTTATACATTTCTGAATTGTTCCAAGTTAAAGACAAAACAAAATACAAAACAAAAAAACCCCACGTAGTAGTTTTTTTTTTTTTTTTTTTTTTAAACTCTGTCACCCGGGCTGGAGTGCAGTGGCATGATCAATGCTCACAGGAACCCCAAACTCTTGGGTTCAAGCAATCCTCCTGCCTCAGCCTCCTGAGTAGCTAGGACTACAGTTGCATGCCACCACGCCTAGCTAATTTTCAAAATTTTTTATAGAGAAGGGGGTCTTGCCACGTTGCCCAGGCTGGTCTCAAACTCCTAGGCTCAAGTGATCTTCCTGTCTAGGACTCCCAAAGCGCTGGGAGTATAGGTGTGAGCCACTGTGCCAGGCCAAAATACATATTTCTTTACAATTGGAAAAATAATGAAAGGAAAGACATAGTCTACTCTTTAATTTCCACCTCAAAGTTACCCCCAAATTGTCCACAATTCTAAGTTCAAGTGGGTAGAGAGTGTGCCCTTCATGCAGCGCACTTACCTGTGAGTGCTAGGGGATGGCTGAGAGCTCGGGGGTGGGAGGAGAGGCCCGCTGCAGTGCTCACCACAGTGCCCGCTGCAGGGGTGGCTGCACCCCGAGAATGGTGGGGGCATCTTCAGGAGTGGCATGCTGGTGGAGGGCAGATGGGAGCTCTGACATGGCCCTGGAGTGTGGGGGGTGGTGGCAGCAGCAACAGGGCACTCTGAAGCCTGGGCAGGGAAAGGTGCTGCCGGGGTGGTGGGCAGCAGGTGTGGGTGGGGCGGGGAGCCAAAGGAGCTGGGGTGAGACGGGATTAGAGATGCTGGCTGGGGGTGGTGGCCGGTGGGGCTGTTAGGGGGAGCAGTGAGGTCTGAGTGCTGGTGGTGCTCCGAGACGGGGAAAGCCTCACCTGTGGGCAGAGGAAGGAGAAACGGGTCAGAATAGGAGCCCAGACCTGGGAAAGAAAGCCCACAGGCTCAGTGCCACAGCATCCTGCTTCTGTGACCAGAGGGCACAGCCTCTCAGCACAGGGGACCCTGGAGCTGGAGAAGATTCTGTGGGCAGCAACACAGCTGAGTGGGCTCAAGGAGCCCAGGCCCAAGCAAGAAGGTACTAGGAATGCTGATTCCACAGAAGGCCCCATGCCTTTTCTGTAGCATGAGCAGGGGATGTATATTCTGTCTCTCAGGGTCTCTCTAGGATCTGCTTGTACACAGGTGCTCCTTAGGCCTGGAGGATGATCTGCAGAAGCCAGTGGAGCAGCAGGCCCAGGCTCTGCCTCTGTGCCACGTGCAGCAAAGCAAAAGGGCACGCCAGACCCCTGAGGGCCCCAGATTTCATAGAAGTGGGAAAAAGGTTCTGATGACTCTCTAGCTTATGTACAAAAACTAATGGAATTATATACTGCTCAACACTCATAATTCTGGGGGCAGTACCACTTTGAAGAACTCAGCTCCTTCATTTAGAAGTATGACAGTAAATCATATTTACATAATAAACCAATAACCCAAGAGTTTTGTCTCTGGGTCTCTGAGAGTTATTTCAGAGTCAAAGAAGACTTACACAGCTGCTAAATTAGCTAATAACCATTACGGCTTATACTGCCAATCTCTTGGGCATTTAAATGCAATGCTTTTATACCCATCCCTTAGATGGGGAAATCAAGGCCTAGGAAGACACAGTTGCCCAGATCCTCTGTGGTGCTGCAGGGGTCAGGTGATCTAAGTCCTACGACTCCACTTTCTACTCAGACCTCACTGGGTGCCCTCTTGATCCAATGTGAACTACCAGAGCCAATGACAACTTTGAGAGGCAAACGGTTTTCTACTAGCAGTATTTTTCAAGTTCAGAGTTGTGGGGAAAGGAGTTCCAGAGATAGTCAAGGTCTAAGCTGCCCCTGCTTCCTCCAGAACAGTTCCACTTTTACTTATTTTAGTAACCAGTCTCATGATTTGTTTGAACAAAGTGGACAGGAAAACACAGCTATCCACCTGTATAGGGCCTGGCTCTCTCCCGAGCCTGGAGACTCACCGGGAATGGTAGGAGGACTCCCAAGAGAGCTGCCTGGCATGGCCTCACTGGAATGTGGGGAATTCCAGAGGCCCGAGAGCTTATGTGCCGACAGGAATGAGCTAGGATCCCAGTCTCCTGAGTTCCCAGGGCAGGAAGAAGAGGACGAGGATGAGGATGATGAAGAGGAAGACGAGGACGAATGAGAGTCATCTCCACAAGACTGTGATTTGCAGGATGTGTGTGACAAGGAGATCTGGAGAAGGGGGAGGAAAAAGGCTCATGGTCAAACAGCAAACATCGGAGCTGACCCTCTGCTGCCTCGGCTTTTGCTGAGGGAGCCCCTTCTCTTCCAGGCCATGTGCCATAGCAAAAACACAATGAATACAACTCCAGCTATAAGAACAAATGAGGGCCAGGCCTTTGCTGGGAAAGGGCTGTGGTGGTCCCACTTACATGCAATGTGTGGAGACTGGGGAGAGAGACTCTGGTAGGGGCAGAGACTGCCTGTGAACTGCGGGCCTTTGGGGAGTAGAGAGCTGCCAATGACAGGAAGGGCCTTTTGGCCAGGAGTCCTGAAGCTAAACTGATCCTGGGTAAAAGGGAAGATCTGCAGCGACGTGAGAAATAAGGAAAGTCTGGTCATCGTGATTCATGAGACAGCAGACTTAGATGGCTCCCTGGTGTCTGTCCTTCTAACTAGGGCACATTTCAGACCCTCAAACTCATCTCTGTCTTCCACGTCTTACTGGTTGTCTTTCAAGCTGCCACAGAGCCAAAGACAGCAGGCTCGTGATCTACCAGTACTTATGAGTGGGCCCTCATCCTGTGCGCAGACCACCCTGAGGGACTGACCGGTGGGCTGCCAGAAGTTTCTCTTCTTCCCCCAAATCTGAACTTGAGCTGCCAATGCTGTGCCAGTGCAGCCCAGAAGTCTCTCAGTGTCTGGGCATGGGAGCTGCCCAAGGAGAGCCACCTGAGGACAGGGAACAGCCTGACTTCCTTGGGAAGGCAGCCCTCCTGCATTCAGGGACCCCTGTCAGTGGTTACCTACCGCCACTGCATGTTCTCGACCTGTCTGCCTTTCATCTTCCTCCATGCTCTTTCGGCAACTCTGGCAGACCCACAGAGGCATCTCGCCTAGGAGATTCTTGACGAGCTTTGGCATGAAGTCAGGGGGCAGCTTCTCACCCTGCAACACCAGTCCATTTTGAGAAGGGCCTTCTTCCCAGCCTTTGCGTTCCCGGTGACACAGCAGGCAGCAAGTCTGCACAGGCTGGCTGGAGGCGGGGGGGACCTGTCCAACAGACAGAAACAGGGTTTCCCAGGAGGGGAAAGGCTCTCCTTCAAAATAATGGTAACAATGTTAGTAATGCCACTTATTACGTGCCAGGCACTGGGTTAGGCAGTTTATAGACATAATTTAAATTTAGTCCTTGTAACAGCTCTGCAAATGAGGTGTTCTTATTCCCATTTTTTAAGATGAAGAAACAGATTTCAAGAAGTTAAATGAGTTGCCCAAGGTTATAAAGCTAGCGAGTGGTTGAACCCTAGTGAGTCTGACTCCAAAGCTCATGCTCAAATGTCCTAATTCTCTGACATCCCCCAAAAAACCTTTCATCTTAAAGGTTAAAGGCCCTTCCTTCTCTGGCATGGCTGGGAGTGGCTACAATTCTTGGGCTGCCTGTGCAGCCCAGGGACCAATGCCCATCTGGAAGGAAATAATGCTTTTAGTCAATGGACAGTTTAGGAGAATGTGTGGGTTTTCTGAAGAATTGCACAATTCCCGTAGGATCGCAGCAACATTTTGGAGGAGGCGTTTGTACAGCTAGTCAGAAAGTATCAACTCAATGGGAAATTGTGTCAGAGGGAAGGTAAGGCTTTGGTTGGTACTCCTGAGAGGTAGTGAGTATGGTGAAAACAATCTGGGCTTTGAAATCAAACAGGCATTCTAATCCCTGCCTGAACACATACGGGCTGGGTGACCTTGAGCAAGTTATTTAACTTCTCTGGGCTCCAATTCCTACCTACCTTGCAGAGTTGTTGTAAGGATCATCACTGCGTAGCATGTAAAGTGTCTACCCTGTGTATGCCCATAACATAGGCCCAATACAGTCATTATTTGGACTTTTTTTTTTTTCCTTCTATGATAAACTTGACTTAGAAATGTAAGTCAGGCCGGGCGTGGTGGCTCACGCCTGTAATTCCAGCACTTTGGGAGGTCGAGGCGGGAGGATCATGAGGTCAGGAGATCGAGACCATCCTGGCTAACACGGTGAAACCCCGTCTCCACTAAAAATACAAAAAATTAGCCGGGCGTGGTGGCGAGTGCCTGTAGTCCCAGCTACTCGGGAGGCTGAGGCAGGAGAATGGCGTGAACCCAGGAGGTGGGGCTTGCAGTGAGCCAAGATCGCGCAACTACACTCCAGCCTGGGCAATAGAGCGAGACTCCGTCTCAAAAAAAAAAAAAAAAGAAAAATAAATGTAAGTCTATAGGTTTGCTTTCACACTGAGGGGTCCTGACTGGGAGACTGATTGCATTTAATGCCTCCCATTAATAGCTTCCTATATCCTGCAACTTTGTATCTGCCCCCATTCTGACACTGGGCTTGGCTATGTCACTTTGGCCAATGGGATGTTAGCAAACAGGCTGCCAGCCATAAACTTGAAAAGTGTGTATGCATTTCCACTTGTTTCCATGCATGGCTGGGCTTGCTCGCTCCTGTACCTCTGCCATGGCCTGAGAGCGAGACGAGGCTAGCTGCTGGAGGGATGTGAAAGACTTGTGGAGACAGCGAAGCCTTCCCAGCTGATTGGCCAGCTGATCAGAGAAACATGAGTGAGCCCAGCTGAGAGCAGACTCGTGAGAGATAGAAAGTGGTATTGTTTTAAACCACTAGGTTTTGGAGGTGGTTTGTTATGCAATGGTAGTTAACTGACGTACCTTCCAAACTTACTCAACACTAGGTAACATGTATCTGCAGAGGCCTACGGGAATAATAAGGGTATCACCCTCATCCTACCAATAAGATAATGCCATCATTTTTCTCCCATGAAATTACTTTCTCATAATGAGTTAGCATCAGGGTATCCTTAAACCTGTAATGTTACCAATTACACTGACTTAGGTCCTTGGTTTCTCAAAAAAGAAGAGAACCAAACAATAGTACCAGAAGCATAATGAAACATTTCGGGAAGTACAAGGAACTTAGACAGAAATTTTACATGTGGAACTCACAAAAGATACAGCCTAAATCAGTCTCTGCCAAGGGAACATTTCAATGAGCAAGACAGTTGTTTAATGGCAACTGCAGGAGTGGAAGGTTGATAGAGAAGGATGGTATTCAGAGAAATTAAGGCAAAGAAGAAACTTTCCATAGCTACAAAGTGCCACAGTAACTCTAGATAGAGTCCCTTTTCCTGCCATGATGATGACCACAAGGTGAGCACCAGGACATATACTTTTACTACAAGTTTCATTTCATTTGCGTGCTAGGTTCAAAAGCCAGTACATATAATTAAAATGTTGTATAGTTATTCTTGAAAAAAAATTTTTTTTTTTTTTTTTTGAGACGGAGTCTCGCTCTGTCGCCCAGGCTGGAGTGCAGTGGCACGATCTTGGCTCACTGCAAGCTCCGCCTCCTGGATTCATGCCATTCTCCTGCCTCAGCCTCCTGAGTAGCTGGGACTACAGGCGCCCGCCACCACGCCCGGCTAATTTTTTGTATTTTTAGTGGAGACGGGGTTTCACCGTGTTAGCCAGGATGGTCTCGATCTCCTGACCTCGTGATCCACCTGCCTTGGCCTCCCAAAGTGCTGGGATTACAGGTGTGAGCCACCGCGCCTGGCCTGAAATTCTTTATATGGCATATAAACCACACTATACAGTCATCCCATAGTACTCATGGGGGATCAGTTCCAGGACACCCCACAGATACAGAAATCTGCAGATGCTCAAATCTCTGACATAAAATGGTGTCATATTTGTATATAACCAATGCACATACTCCCACAATCTCCAGATTACTTATAATATTTAATACAATGTAAATATTATGTAAATAGTTGCTATACCGTATTGTTTAGGGAATAATGATGAGGCAAAAAGTCTACACATGTTCAGTATAGACACAATCATCCTTTTTTTTTCCTTGAATATCTTCTATCTACAATTGGTTGAATCCACAGATGTGGAGGAATGACTGTATATGGTTTTGTAGTTATAACCAATAATTCAAATGTATAATAAAAAGTATGATACGTGTGTTTTCTGTTTTTAAAAGCAAATACACAATTCTTATAAATTAAGCGTGTAATTAATGTGACTGCATTTAGTGCCAAAGTACTTGTGGAAGGCACTGGGGCGCAGTGGAAACACTGGCTTTGGCATTAATCCTGACCTCTATCACTTACCAGCTGTATGATGCTGTGCTAGTTCTACTTACCCTCTCTGTTTGCTCATCTGTAAAATGGGATTAAGTTTCAATTTGTAGGGTCAGCTGTGAGAAATAAATGTGATAAAGCACCTAGTCCACTGCTAGGCACACAGATGTTGCTCAACATATGGTATTAATCATTAACACGACAGGAACAACAGGAAACAATAAATGGTCACTGTATTTTACACGAACATGAGTCTCTCATATATGATGAATCTAAGGTGACTTGTTAGAAATCTTAATCTCTCCCCTCAACCCCATGAAGTCATTCCCTAAATTCCCAAAATAATCTCTGCCTTTTTCTATGTCATGCTTTTGCTAAAGGGGATCCCTTGCTTAAAATCCACTTTCTTCTCATGTTTACCAATGAGTAGCTGAGACGAAAGGCCCAATTTAAGTCCAGCCTCCTCCAGGCTTTCTCCTACAGAGTCCCTCTTGTAATTCACTTCTTCTCTCCCATCTCCTCCTCGTACACTGTGCCTTGATTATAGTAGTTGTGCCTTCTATTTAATTTATTTACCTGTATCTTCTGTCCCTTCTACAAGAGGCAGGTGCCAGGTCTGATTCCTGTCTGGATCCCTCATGGAGCAGCACAGGGCCTGGCTTGAGGCATGGGCTCAGCTGGGCGTGTGGTAGAGAACTCAGATTTGCTAGGTGTCCCCATGCATGGCAATGCAGCCATCAGGCAGTCCAATGAGACACTGCTTGAAATTACTGCTTCCTACAGAGAAAGGCCCATCTGTCCACCTGACCTCCAGAATGGTTCCAATCTTAACCGCGTTAGAGTAAAAGACTGCATTCTTTAGGGATTATGAGATGCCCCCAGTTAACCGAAATAATGTGACTCTCCCTAGAGCCAAAATGGTACACAAAATAAATGAGATTAGCCATCACTGGAAGTGACCTTACAGGACAGGTTGTCTTCCCAGTTAAAGCAAGAAACACAGGGCCTGAAAAGCTAATTAAGCTCTAATTGAAGCTGCCCACAGGACATTAGAGATACAAAGCACTTAGCTCAAGGGATCCAGGCAGTAGGCACTCAATCTACTATCTAAGCCCCTTGGCTGTTCTGTTCTAAGTCTACATTGAAGACTAGTTTATCCACTGTCCTCTCTGAGTTTGGTACACTTGAGTCCTTCTTTCAGGCCCAGGCAGTTTGAGAAGGCCACTCCTAAAGCTGATGTCTTAACTCTAGGGCCTGGTGCCTGCCCCTGGGTATGATGCCTTGTGGAACTGGGAACTTTTTTCTGCTATTTTCATCTCCGCTTTAATTGCTAGAGGGTGATAAGAATCCCAAGCCCTAGAGATGTTATATTTAGTCAGTAATGCCACTGGTTCCTTCAAATTTTTGCTTTGGCAGAGAATGGCTCTTGGTTCAGAGTTCCCTTTGACTGTGATCTGCTGCCATTTTCCAAATTCTGGCATTCATGAACCCTTATGCCCTGAAAAGTCAGTCAACCCAGACTTTCAATCAGCTGCTCCCAAGCTGTATTTTTAGCACCTGGCACAGTATTCCTACACAAAGAACATAATCAGCAAATGTTCATCGAATGAATGAAAACTCCAACCATTTTTCTTCATCACAAAGGCTGATGGAACTGATTCTTGAATCCAGCAGCCCGTTGTTCTTGCTCACCTCAGTTTAAATTTCAGAGACTCTGAGGATGCAGGTCTAGCCTTAGGCAAAAGATGAGGGAAGAAAAATTCTGGGGGTTCTACTGATTTTGGATCTCCTCAAAAAAGCTCCAAGATAATTTTTCTTCACTCTAAGCAAAACCAGAATCTCTGGAGAGTGTGAGATTACTCACAGGAGATCCATGCTGTAGCATGCACTGCCCCAGAGCAGTGAAGGGGCCAAGTGAGCTCTAGGTACACTCCAGGGCCTAGGGGGCTGGCATCTGTAGCCATTAAAACCATTATCTCTGCTTCCTTACCAGATCAGGCCCAAGACTTTTTTGCCTTGACCTGAGAAGCATTAACTTAGGGCATTCTAGTTTTTCCTGGATAAAAGAGAGAGAAAATCCAAGGAAGAGGAAGCCACTTTTTTTCATGGAACACCATTTTTTAACTGAAAGAATGACTTGCTATTTAGACTTGGGAATTGGCAGACATTTTCTCAAAAAAATGAACAATGAATAAAATTAGCCTGTCATTTCAAGGAAAACAACTGACAGTATTTATAGTCAATGATATAAAATGCAAGCTTTCAAGTGAAGATTAGAATTCTGAAACTTTTGTCCACCACCATGAGTTTCACAGCTGCCAAATACTTGAAGACTTTTCTGATGAAATTGGTGATGATATTAACAAATGTTATCTTTTGGTACTGTAAAATGAAATGGAAAACATTTGGAAGATCTGCAAAATCCAGTGAGCCTATTTTCCAAATGACCAAAGCATGATGGATTCAAAGCACTGGTTTGACCAATAGATTTTAGTGTAAATGAGTATGAAGACTTCATTGATAAGGGCTCAAATTTAATACTGGAAATTATCTGGCAAGGCTACTGAAACACTTCTCTCTTTTTCACTTACATATTTGTGTGAGGTTGGATATTTTTTCATATACTTCAACCAAAACAATGTATTGCAACAGACTGAATACAGAAGCATATATGAGAAGCCAGCTTTAGTCTATTAAGCCAGATGGAAAGTAATTTGCAAAAATGAAAAGAAGACCATTCTTCTAATTTTTTTTTTTTTTAGATGAAATCTTGGTATGATCTCAGCTCACTGTAACCACCACCTCCTGGGTTCAAGCGATTCTCCTGCCTCGGCCCCCCAAGGGCTAGGATTACAGGCCCCCGCCAATACGCCTGGCTAATTTTTTTTTTTTTTTTTGAGACGGAGCCTCGCTCTGTCGCCCAGGCTGGAGTGCAGTGGCGCGCGATCTCCGCTCACTGCAAGCTCCGCCTCCTGGGTTCACGCCATTCTCCTGCCTCAGCCTCCCAAGTAGCTGGGACTACAGGTGCCTGCCACTACATCCGGCTAATTTTTTGTATTTTTTAGTAGAGATGGGGTTTCACTGTGTTAGCCAGGATGGTCTTGATCTCCTGACCTTGTGATCTGCCCGCCTCAGCCTTCCAGAGTGCTGGGATTACAGGTGTGAGCCACTGTGCCCGGCGCCTGGCTAATTTTTGTATTTTCAGTAGAGACAGGGTTTCACCATGTTGGCCATGCTGGTCTCGAACTCCTGACCTCAAGTGATCCGCCTGCCTTAGCCTCTCAAAGTGCTGGCATTACAGCATGAGCCACCACGCCTGGCCATTCTCCTAATTTTGTTTTGGAAAATATAGTTTTCATTAAAAATTGTTATGTTAACATGATAGCTTCAATACTGTCTTTCTTAAATGAATTAGTGACAAAATATTTTAAAACTTTCTCAGCTTTTATATTTAATTTAGTAAATATCAATAGATATAAACAACATAAACAAAGGCTCAAAGGCCGGGCACGGTGGCTCAAGCCTGTAATCCCAGCACTTTGGGAGGCCGAGACAGGCGGATCATGAGGTCAGGAGATCGAGACCATCCTGGCTAACACAGTGAAACCCCGTCTCTACTAAAAAAATACAAAAAACTAGCCGGGCGTGGTGGCGGGCGCCTGTAGTCCCAGCTACTTGGGAGGCTGAGGCAGGAGAATGGTGTAAACCCGGGAGGCGGAGCTTACAGTGAGCTGAGATCCGGCCACTGCACTCCAGCCTGGGCGACAGAGCGAGAATCCTCTCAAAAAAAAAAAAAAAAAAAAAAAAAGGCTCTTTGGGTTCCTCAATCATTTTTAGGAATACATAAGGGTCTCCTGAGGTTGGAGGACTGCTCAAGCCCAAGTGACGGACGTTGCAGTGAGCCAAGATCGTGCCACTGTACTTCAACCTGGGTGACAGTGAGAGCCTGTCTCAAAAAAAAAAAAAAAAAAAAAGCTCTTTGGGGGCATGACTCAGTTTTCTAGCTTGGCCTTTCTATCCCCAATTTGGGAATAACCCATTGCCAGACCAGACAGCTGTCAAGGACTACTCTGAAGCTGGATTGAATTTCCAGCACTCAACTTGGCCTCATTCATCCCATGGATTCTTTTTCATCTCCAGGGTTTGTATATGTTTGTACAGGACTTCCCCAAGACACATGCTGTATCTAACCAGCTGCCCTGCAACAGATCCCAAATTCTATTTTGAAATGGCCCACTGGAGCACTCTACTCTCGAGGCACCCAACTCCAAGAGCCTCTCTGTCACCAAGGCAGGCAGAGGACAACACCAGCAGCTAAAATTCCCTTTCAGAAGCAGAGAAAATGATCAATCCTCAGCCTAGAAAAACTCATTGTCATAGTTAACATCACTCACTCTTCCATTCACCCATTCATTCCCTCATTCAACATTCTCAGAGTCCGTATCTCCTGCCAATTGTGCTAAATGCTGGGAAACATCTATCCTTGACAATTCCTATTCATTCCCTAAGATTCTGGTCAAAGGTCAGTGAAGCTTTTGCTGGTCAAGCTAAGCACAACTGATTCTATTTAGTACAGCATCAAAAATGTGCCATAGATGTATTCTGTCTGTTCCTAAATTCCTGGTAGAATGTAAGCTCTCTGGGGGCAGGGTGTGGACCTTAGTCATTTAAGTATGCCCAGGAACCTAACTTGGCTTGGGCCTGGCACATTGCAGGCATTCACTGAATAAACAAATGAAAGCTTAAAGCCCACCTGGCTCATGTCTCAGCTTTTCAACACAAAGGCAGAATGTAAAACAGAGTCAAACCAGTGCATTTCCCAACATGCTATAAGTCACTCTGAGCCACTGATGAGAGGGCAATCAGTGAGAAGAATCTCAGACCATTCTAATGCTGACAATCAGAGCTGCAGTTAATTCTTAAGAGAGCTGACACAACCCTACCTCAGTGCCCTGGAGCTGTTACCCAAACTTCCATGCAGGCTGTGGGCTCAGGCCCTTCCAGGAGGTAGAACAGCTGTTTCACACTGTAAGACTAGTCAGTGGAGAATCCTTTCTGGTTGTACAAGCTCGGTTGGGAGTGAGTCTCTCTGATCCTAGTGACCTTAACCCTAAAACTTTCTCAGTTTTAATATCCCCACAAGGCTAGCTCATCTGCTGAACAGCCTCCTGGGTGCAATCAGCCACAAGGAGGGCCAAAGCCGCAGATTTACCTGAATCCTCAGGTCAAACTGCTACTCTGCTACTGTAACCCCAGCACACGTTACTCATGGAGGAGGAAGAGCATGAACTTTGGGGATGAGACACACAGTTGTGAGTTCAAATCCCAATTGTCGTTTTCAATATGATCTTGGAATATTACTCAATTTCTTTGAGCCTCAATTTCCTCATTTATGAAATGGGAATAAAACCATATTTTACAGAGTTGTGAGGACAGAAGGAAATAAATTATGTAAAGTACCTGGCCTGGGCCTGGCACAAAGTAGGTGCTCAATACCCGTTAGTTTCTTTCCTCTTCTGCCCTGGAAGAAATGACAGGGAAACTTACTAAGTGAGACTTGCCCAGACCAAATTTATTTCTTGAAGCAAAGGACAGAAGGACTAGACAAGTGACTTCAAGGCCTCTTTGAACCCCCAGCTCCTTGTTTTCTGGCTATAACTTCCTAATAAAACCTTCAGTGTTTGCAGTTCCACCAGCCCCTTCTTTCTGCCTTAGTTTCCCTACATCATTTTTCACAGTAGATAGATCTACTTGTAGCTACCACTTGTGCTAAGCATGCTAAGAATGGAGCAGGAAATAATAAAGGGAGCTAAGGGCCTTTGGTGGAGAATGAAGGGGAGATGGACGGCAGCATGTTGGCCCACAGGCTGCGCAACCATGCAGCTGCTGTGCTGGGAGCCACCCAGAGTTTGAAGGACGAAGGCAGGCTCACAGGCACAGAACTGAAGGCACAAACACAGGGCTCTTCCCAAGACATAGCATGCCTCTCCTCAGTCCTCCTCTGTTTCTGCACATCCTGCCAAGAAGGACCAAATACATAAAGTAGTCACACCTTCACATATACTGTTCTTTCTGCCTTTTTCTTCTCTTTTTTTTTTAGGCTCGATCTGGGTGTTACATCCTCTTAAGTCCACAGGAAGAATGAACTTGGCTTTGCTCTGGGATACCCTAACACTTTTTTGTTTAAAAACATATCTCTAGAATAGAGCTTATCAAATATATTCTACTGGTTGAAATCTGTCCTTTCCACAATACTGTGAGCTTTTCAAGGGCAGAGCCTGTGTCCCACAAGTCACTGTATTGCAGTCATTCAGCAGAGCCTGTAGCACAGAGTAGGCACAGGTAAGTGTTTGGATACACAATGGAAGATTAGCAGTTGGCAAATATCATTAATAGATCAGAACTGGGGGAAGGTTTTTTGTTCTGTTTTAAACTAAGGTGGTTTCTATTCTTGCTTATGGAAAAGCTCCTCCCTGGGAAGCTCATTGTTTGAATACCCTAGGTCTTCTCAAAGATCCCCCTGGCACCCTCGATTCAGCAGCTCCCAGACCCAGCCACATGTCGGAGTCACTTGGGGACAATTCAACAATAGACACCTGGGATCCAGACCTGGAGACTGATTCTGTAAGTCTGGGATAGGGTCCAGCAAAGCACAGGGGATCTGATGATTATTAGGTTGGGGCAAGGGAGAGGTGGAATCAAGCAATCACAGCTGTCTCTCCCACTGAGAATTACTTCTTCACATGCTATCAGAGAATGTATTGAAGCCCATGACATTCTCTTTCCTGCTTAAAACCTTTCATTGATTCCTCACCACCTACAGGATAAAGCCCAAACCTCTTGGTGTGGTTTTCAAGAACCCTGCTAGCCCCTTCAGCCAGATCTCTCCCGACTCTCCAAGTGAGTGGGGCTCGCCCTGGATCTTTGTACAAGTTCCTTCCTTTGTTTGGACTCTTTTCTCCCACCTTGTTCTCTGGAGAACCTTGAAGACTTAGCTCTGAGAAGCATTCTCTGACCCATCTTCCTCTAGGTTACGTCCTGGGCAACCCCGACACCAGCTGCCTCTCGTGTTAAGCACACAGCACTTGTTGGACACTAACATTAACCTTGTACAACTGGATTGTCTTGTTTTTTCTTTTGAGACGGAGTCTCACTCTGTCGCCCAGGTTGGAGAGCAGTGGCACGATCTCGGCTCAGTGCAAGCTCCACCTCCCAGGTTCACGCTATTCTCCTGCCTCAGCCTCCCAAGTAGCTGGGACTACAGGTGCCCGCCACCATGCCCGGCTAATTTTTTTGTATTGTTAGTAGAGACGGAGTTTCACTGTGTTAGCCAGGATGGTCTCCATCTCCTGACCTCATGATCCGCCCACCTCAGCCTCCCAAAGTGCTGGGATTACAGGCGTGAGCCACCATGCCTGGCCTGGATTGTCATTTTATACATAAGAAAACAAACCAAGAGGCTGAAACACTTCCAAAGGCCACTTAATAGGGTCCAGGATGGCCGGGCACGGTGGCTCACACCTGCAACCTCAGCACTTTGGGAAGTCGAGGCGGATGGATCACAAGGTCAGGAGATCGAGACCACAGTGAAACCCCGTCTCTACTAAAAATACAAAAAATTAGCTGGGAGCGGTGGCGGGCGCCTGTAGTCCCAGCTACTCGGGAGGCTGAGGCAGAATGGTGTGAACCCAGGAGGTGGAGCTTGCAGTGAGCCAAGATCGCACCACTGTGCTCCAGCCTGGGCGACGGAGTGAGACTCCATCTCAAAAAAAAAGTGTCCAGGATTTGAACCTTTATTCAGAAGAAGCCGATGCTATATCTCCTAGCATCACTGCAATTACTATACACACGTTCTCTAGACTATGAGCCCCTTGTGGGAAGGGACTATGTCTGATTCACTTCTGCATGCGCAGCTAGCCCAGGCCTGGCACAGAGCTGGGACCGGTTAATATTTGCACAATAAATGCCATGTGAGATAAGACTGGGCATCACAGCATGCGAATGGCTGGCCTAAATGAACGAATAACTGCCAACCTGGCCCAGTTTGGGGGCAGATAAGAACGAAGTGGTAGAATCCTCACTTATTAGAATTTAGTTTAACAGCCAGGCATTGAGTATATAAGGACCACAGGACCACACACAGTATATACCCCCCAAATAAATTAAAACATAGACCCTGCTCTAAAAACTTCTAGATGAGGTAAGTAAAGGTGTTAGGATCATCTATCTGATATCAGAAATTAAAATTTAAAACTCAGCTGGGTGCAGTGGCATGCACATGTAGTCCCAGCTATTTGGGAGGCTTAAGGAGAAGTATCACTTGAGTCCAGGAGTTTGAGGATAGCCTGAGCAACATAGCAAGATCCTATCTCTAAATAAAAATAAATAAATAAAATCCTAAGTCGGTAAGTCTTCATTTTCAAAGGTCTTTTGACATTTTTACTGAGTGAGTCTCTACTGGCTTACAAAGAAGAACTAGAGGTGGCAGGGATCCCCTCAGTATCATTTCCTCCTACTGACAATGCAAGTTGTGCAGGCTGGGCAGGCAGTGATTCTAAGGGGGAGGTCCCCAAAGATAGGAACTGTCTTATCCATCTGTGCACCCCAAATAAAGGTCCTGGCACAGAGGTTGTTTTGATATCTGCTGAGTGAACTAAACATAATGAGATGGTTTTATTAAAGATACTGACTAATCATCTACTATAAGATACTGACTAATCAATTTCTTGAGGGAGCAGTGGGAGAATCGGATCTCTAGAGTCCCTTTAAACTAGACTGGGCAAAGGCCCAGAGGACGATGTGGAGGGGAACAAGAGGTGGACAAGGGTAGGATGAGCTCACCTCTCCTCACCAACTGCTGGTTTACATCCTAGCAAGTCTCCTGGGGGCTTACTGAGTGTACCTGGATTACAAACTGAGTGGTCCAAGAGAGACGAAAGACAGCTAGCAGAACTAATAGGCCAGAACACTCAGGCTTTGTATGGCCACCTGGCACAGCTTCTGCCACCTCTCTTAGGTGAGGCGCCTCTATGTACTAGCTGCTACATAGGTTGCTTCTCTTGTGAACTATTATTTATTTATTTATTTTTTAAGAAGAAGGAGATGGGGTTTCCCTCTGTCCCCCAGGCTGGGGTGCAGTGGCGTGCACTTGAAGTCCTGGGTAACTTGAACTTCTGGGTTCAAGCAATCCTCCCGCCTCAGCATCCCAAGTAGCTGAGATTATAGGTATGCACCCATGCCCAGCTAAGTTCTGGTTTCATTGTTTTTGTAGAACCAGAGAGCTCACTATGTCACCAAGGCTGGTCTCAAACTTCTGGCCTCAAGGGATCCTCCTGCCTCAGCCTCCCAAAGTGCTGGGATTACAGGCGTGAGCCACCAAGGCCTCTTGTGAAGTTCCTGATGGGGTCAGAGAGAAGCAACTTGCGGAGTCACAAAGCTAGGAGGCTAAGCTGGGAATTCAATCCAAGTCTCTAAACACCACTCCCCACTGCCTCCCACAATTGCTTTTTCAGTTGTTCCTTGTTTGTTTGTTTTTTCCTTTGCTAATAAGGTAGTAACTGTTTCAGCCTTCTTGTGCTGTAAACAAGGATTTGGGTTGTTAGGAAACAGATCAATGTGGTTTAGTGGCCTGAAACAATTGAGAGTTAAGCCGTTTGGGATCCCAGTTAAACTCAAGGTCCTGCTTTAAATGTGTACAGGTTATGCAAATGAGTGAAGGGGCCTGGGAAGAACCAGAAGAGGCCTAAGGAGCACACGTTGTCTAAAAGGGCCAAATGCTACTCAGAGACTACTGATTACTGCCTTGTGGAAAAGTGGACCCAGCATCACCATATCTTTAGTTTAAAAAGAGCCCCAAATCCAAATGTGTGGGAAACCTTCTGATCTTTAAAATATGGTCTCAAATGAAAATACAAACAGAAACAAAACAATGTGTGAGCTGGGGCATTCCAACAAGCCTGTGGACTGGGAGTGGTCTTATTTGCCACCTTGGGATTCAGTTTGGTGTATGACACTGAGTTTCATCTTCCTTACCCACTCTGTATATGTAAGACAGGGCTATGAGTGGCAGTGAGAGCCAGAGAACCTCAACAAAGACACGCTTGCAGGCAGAGCAATGACTGAACCCTACCTTTCTACTAGGTGCTTTGCACCAGGGCACAAAAGCCTGCTTCCAGACAGCACCCCCGGTCAAAGTGGGGCATAATCAGAACCGAATTTACCAGTTTGTTTCCCTTCTTTGGGGCTGTAGTTTAAAAAAAAAAAAAAAGACTTGTTAAAAATCCCCCAAACTACCTAAGAGTCCTTTTCTTTTCTTTTGTCTAACACCTATAGCTGGAGTCATTTGGGCAAATGTTTAGTTGCTCTGAGTTTCTGTTTCTTCATCTGAAAAATGGGGTAATAATATTTATATCCTCTAGTTTGTTGATCAACATTGTTAACCACCAGGCACAGGGGTACAATGGTGACTGACATGGCTCCTGAACTCACAGAGTTCACAAATAAAAACAGATAATCAAATCAATGGTCAATTCATCATATGTGTGTTAAATGCTGCGGAGAAATACAGTAGAGGGGGGAAGATTATAAGTAAGGTATGTAAAGTGCCCGGCACAAATAAATGAATCAGTAGGACAAGCAGTGGAGTAGATAAGAACATGGTAGGAAACTAGATGTCAAAGCAATTGATGAAGCTTAGAGCTCTTGGCAAAGTTATATCCTCAATAAAAACTGAATGGTTGAGCCATCATCCAAGCTTTCTGGCATCTCTATGTGGCAGAGACCCTAAAGTATTCTATGGTCTGCTGAATGAGAAGAAGAGAAGACAACAGCTTCCCGGCTCTCCCTTCTCCCACTCTCCCTTTTTGGGTAACAGCACTCCCAGGGGGGTCCCAGAGTAGACTGGTGGGGGAAGCAGCCTCAGGGTTGGCAGCTAGACCCAGTAGGGGTCGGGGGTCCCACCTGGGGAGTCTCCTATGGAAGCAGTGTCAGCCTAGGATAGGAGATGGGGATGGGGATGAAGGTGGAGCTTCTGACACTCAATAAGTGGTGACATTTTCATTAATTAAAAACCTTATTGTGATCTGAGACACAAGGAAATCAGCATGAAAACTGGGTTACAATAAGCACAGGTTCTGGACTGATTCATTTTCTCTCTCATTCACCTAGTTATTTTTACTCTGTGTTAGCAAGGCCCTGGGCCAGGCGTGGAGGATTAGAGATAGATGGCATGGCCTGTGTCCCTGCGGAATTCACAGTCCAGGGCAGGCAACAGACATATCAACAGAACGTTTCATCACAGAAAGGGGAGTGCTACCAGAGGGAGGCACAGAGGGCTGTGGGCACAGAGAGGGCACCTGACGCAACTGGGGAGGTCAGGGGAGGCTTTGTAGGAAGGTACCCCAAATGGCAACCCCACTCACATGCACAATTCCAGAGATTCTACTAGAAGGCTGTCAAGAGCCATGCCTTCTGGCTGCACCAGCCTCCCAGAGTCCCCTGCTGCCCGATGCAGTGTCTGCAGAGCCAAACGCATCTTCCGCCACGCCTCATCCTCATCCGGCGCCGCATCCGACCCTCCAAGACTCCTGCAGGAGCCTGCCTTCCTGGGCAGGCTCAGCCAAAAGACCAACTCAAAACTCTTTTGTCAGAGCAAGCTTAGGGAGAGCCACCCAGCCCCGAGTGCCACAACCCTCCCAGAGCAACCGTGGCCCATGTCACCCCCGCCTCTCAGTGAACATTGGCAGGGTACCCCCCATTATCTCCTTTGCTCAAAAGAAAGTGACCTTCTTCCAGGTGGCAAGCTGGAAGCTTTGGAGAATCCTCCTACTGTTCACTCTCAGCAGGAGTCTCCAAACCCGGGATCTCAGGGTCGGGGTGGGCCGCCTTGCGGGGCAGGGGAAGGGAGAAAGGGCAGGTTCTGCTGGGTTTCCACCTCAGTGCAGAAACCCCACCAAAAACTCTTCCGGCCAGCCTGGCTGTCTGCTCCGACTGCTCTGCTGGGTATGGCGAGGAGGTGCCAGGAGACACAGCTGCTGAGGGGCCGCGGCTGCAGGCGGTGCAGGGGACGGAGTGGAGCCGTTCCCGAGGGGAGAGGGAAGAGGCTGCAGACGTCCAGTCCCAGAGCCCCGAGATGGCCTGTGGCTGAGGGAGCAGGTGGGCCCAGGGGGAGGTGGCGGGCCGAGAGAGGAGCTGCGGCCTCGGGATCACAGCCCAGTCCCAGTGTGGGTGTGCGGCCGGACGTTAGTCTCTGCTCCAGGCCGGAGGCGGCGGGGAGAGGGGAGCAGCTTCAGCCTAGTCGCAGGAGCGCGGACCGAGCCTCGGCTTTGGGGAGAGGGGTCCAGCCTCCATGCCCACCCCGGGGGAGAAAGCTTCGGCGCCGGACCCGGGGGAAGGCTGCTGCCCCAGCCGCGGCAGGATGGCCCATCCCCAACCCCGCCCCACTCCCGCTCCCGCTCGGGGGAGGTGAAAGCGCCCGGGCCGCCGAAGTCGCCTCGCTCGCTCCTACCTGCGGGCCGGGCACCAGGTTGGGTTCGTCGTCCTCCCTGGAGCCGTCGCGATCGGGCTCCGCCGGCGCCTCCGGGGGGCCTGCACCCGCTCCCGCCTCCAGGCTTGGCGGCGGCGGGGGCTCGGGCGCCTGGGGCTTCTGCGGCCCCGCAGCCCGAGCCCGCTCGCGCCTACCCGCGCCGCCGCTCGGCCTGCTCCGCCTCCGAGTCATGCTGCCGCTCGCGCCGCTCCCTCGCTCCACACGCCGCGCCGCCGCCGCCGCCGCCGCCGCTACCGCTCCCCTCACAGGACAACAGCCAACATGGCGGCGCCCGGCTCCCCCCTCCGCCTGCTGCCAGCAGGTCAGAGGGCACGCGGAGTCCGCGCCGCCGCACTAGCCCCCGAGGCCGCCTGCGCCATTTTGAATAAGGTCACCACCCGGAGTTCCGTGGGAGAAAAGCCTGGTGGGGAGACGCCCTTCCCCCCTACGCGGGAGGGGAAGGATGCTACCTGCTGGAGGAACGCGTGTAACGCGGTGGTAATCGCGGTGCAGCACCCTAGCACTTAATAATTGCCTGTTAAATGGATGAGTGAATTAATTTCTATAGTGTTACAATAATACTTTCACACCCGTCGTCTGACTCCTTCCAACAGCACAGCAAGGCAGATACGGATCATTCCCATTTTGCAGGGGAGAAATACTGAGGCAACATAAAGGCTTGCAAAAGGCTGCTGTACATCATTTTGTTGGAACTGCTGGGCTCGTGGACGGCCTGAGTTGAAAGGGACGGTCTTTATTTGCAACATACGGTCTACTGGGAGTCCAGCGTTCTGTGCTTGGGGCATGGGACTCAGATCCGACTCCTTGTTCTAGAGTCTGATGGAGAAGGTAGACACGTCGGTACATAGTTACAACCGGTGTGATAACGATGAGACGACTAGGTGTTTCCAAAGAAATAGTATATGCAGGAGAGGATTTTGGAATGGTACACAAAGGAGAATTTTTAAAACTTAATAATTATGTATTTAATTGTTAAAAATGGGATTTCCCCCCTCTTTTATTTTTGTGAATATACTGTGTAATACATGCACATGGCACAGATTTAAAAAAAAGTTGTGAGTGAAGTCTGTCTCATGCCTGGGCTATGTACTCTGAAACTGTGGTTATATGGAGAGTTGCTATTGGTATCAAGAAGGGCAGAATCCTGACATTGGCTTCCTAACCCATGGGGCAAGGGCTATTTTGAAAGGAAGAGCTACATGGAAGGCCCTAGAGCTCTCCTTAACTACCAAGAAAATAAATCAAAAATAGTACCTTATCTTACCCAGGGATTAATACCACTCTCAAAGATTTGAAAGATGTAGAGTGAGTCCCATCACATCACCATTACCTCTTCAGTTTGTCCAGAATAGGAGAGAGATGGCCTTGAAGAACAACAGAGCATTATGATAAACTTACTTATTCTGGTAAGAACCCCAACTTCAGGCGCTCTTCCAGATGTGGTCCTTCTTGGGAGAGATCAGCACATTTGTTGGCCTCTAATAGGCAGCAAGAGGTCTGGTCAATGGTTATTCTTCTGTACCAAACACAAAGATTCCCTTGCATTGATCTGGCAGAGGCAGCAGTAAACCCTCACTGTCTGGCTTCAGGGTATGTCACTCTCTGGACCCAGCCACTTAGTTTACAGGGATTTTTTTTTTTTTTTTTTTTAATGACAGAGCCTCACTCTATCTCCCAGGCTGGAGTGCAGTGGTGCAATCTCAGGTCACTGCAACCTCTGCCTCCTGGGTTCAAGGGATTCTTGTGCCTCAGCCTCGAGAGTAGCTGGGATTTGAGGCGCATGCTACCACGCCCCCTAATTTTTTGTATTTTTAGTAGAGAAAGGGTTTTGCCATGTTGCCCTGGCTGGTCTCGAATTCTTGACCTTGGGTGATCCGCCTGCCTCAGCCTCCCAAAGTGCCCGGATTACAGGCGTGAGCCACTGCACCCTGCCAGTTTACAGGGATTTTTTTTTTTTTTTTTTTTTTTTACTAAATCTCCATTCTAATGGATATCAGGCTAATCTACCAAGGCATTGATGACATCATCGTGATGGACCTTAAGAAAAGGGAATATCAGATATCCTGGATGATTTGGTAAAGCATGATGTGTGTGCCAGAGGATGGATAATAAATCTCACAAATATATAGGGGCCTGTCAGTAAGCCATCTAGGAGTCTGGGATATGTCGAGATATTTCCTATAAAGTGAAGGAAAAGAGTAGATCACGCTCCCTGCTAAGGAAGAGATTCAGTACTTGGGCTTGGGCTTCTTTAGACTTGGTGGGAAACATAGATGTATTTAGGTACATTGTTTTGACCAGTTACTGGGTCACTTGAAAGCTGCCAACTTTAAGGCAGGATCATACAAAAAGAGAAAGTTTTCCTACTGGACCAGGCTGCAGAGTAAATAGTTCTGGCTTTGGCCTTAATACTTAGACATTGGATTTTGGAGCAAAGTTACGCTTTCTTTCAGCAAATAGTTATACTCCATTTTAGAAATAGCTCCTGGCTTGCTTCAGGGGCCCGGTGAAATTGGATGCCTGATCCTGGCATACCACGTGACTACGTGACCTGAACTGAGTGTTATCTGATCTACTCAGCCATAAAATCAGGGGTGCTCAGCAACACCCTGTCATGAAGAGGAAGTGACATGTGTGGGTTGGGTCCACGCAAGTCCTAAAGCACAAGTAGGTTGCCAGAGCAAGTTACTTACATTCCTCTGGTGCCACACTCTTCTCCATTCCATCCCTCAACCTGGATCAATGGTTTCATGAACAGTTTAATGATGAGTTGACTAAGGAAGAAAAATCCAAAGCCCAGTTTGCAGATGGCTCTGTGTGGTGTGCTGGCTCCAGCCAGAAGCAAATTGCTAGCTTGTTCTAGCCTTCCTCAGACAGGGCCCAAGGGCATAGAAAAGGGAAATCCATGCAAAGACCTTGAAATAAAGACACATCAATTCCTGGCCATTGGATCATGATTTACTCTGTTGTTGAGGGACTTGGGAGAAAAAAAAGCCTGCAGCCTTAGTGACAGGAAGTTTTGAGGATGACAGATGTGGAAAGATTGCCCAGAATGGCTTAAGAACATAAGGCTATTTGTGTCCCAGATGAACGTTCATCAAAAGAACCTCTTAAAAGCCCAATGGGCAGTATGGCCGTTTCCGTGGCTGTCAGATTGTCTCTTCCCAACTATTTAAGAACTTATTCAATGGCTCCATGAGAAAACTGGCCCAGCAATTTGGACTGTCTCCTCCTCAAGGCTGGCTGACCTATCTACTCTCAGTGTTGAGTCCAATTTGCAGGAACCAGCCAGAGCCCCTGTGTGGAACCTTACTCTGAGGGGCACACCCAGCTCTCTTCTAGCAGGGTGATTACTTTGGACTATGTAATAGGGCTGGTTAGCTGCTGTAACAAACCAACCTCACATAGCAAGAGTTTTAACACCTTAGATCTTGTCTTATTCGTGTCGCAGGCCAATGCCTATTGAAGAGGACTTTGCAGTCACTCAGGGATCCAGTCTCCTTTGATCCTGTGGTTCTGCCTTCACCTGGGCTCTCAAAGTCCTCTTCATTCATCTAGAGGATAGGAAAGGTGGTAGAGTGAGGGTTGCCTGGGACATTTCTTTCTTCCTTCCTTCCTTCCTTCCTTCCTTCCCTCCCTCCCTGCTTGCTTTCTTCCTTTCTTCCTTTCTTTCCTTCTTTCCTTCTTTCCTTCTTCCTTTCTTCCTTTCTTCCTTCCTTTCTTTCCTTTCTTTCCTTTCTTTCTTTTCTTTTCTTTCTTTCTTTTTTTTGAGACAGAGTCTTACTGTGTCGCCCAGGCTGGAGTGCAGTGGCTTGATCTTGGCTCACTGCAAGCTCTGCCTCTTGGGTTCACGCCGTTCTCCTGCCTCAGCCTCCCACGCATGGGACATTTCTATGAGCTGTACCCAGAAATGAATATACATCACTTTTACTCACACGCCATCGGGAGAGAATTCCACCGCATGGTTCCCCCAGAGGATAATCCTTCCCTCCTACTTTTTCCTCTTCCCCAGGCAGCACTGATCTGCTTTCTGTTTCTACAGAATATTTTGCATTTTCATACAGTATGTATTCTGCTTTGCCAGGCATCTTTCCTGCAGTATAATTATTTTGATTCACCCACACCGTAGCGTGTTTAGATAGCTCATTCCTTTATACTGCTGAGTAGTATTCCGTTATACGGAAGTATCACATTTTGTATCCATTCAGTGCTGATTTGCGGTCATGACGAACATTTCTCATGCATTAAATTAGCTTATTATGCTGCTCTGAGAACTGGAAGAAAATATATTTAACACGCAGTGGCTCATGCCTGTATTGCCAACACTGTGGGAGGACCACTTAAAGCCAGGAGTTTGAGACCAGCCTGGGCAACAAAGCAAGACCCTGTCTCTCCAAAAAAGAAAGAAAGAAAAAAAAAGCTGGCAGGTGGTATATGCCTGTAGTCCCAGCTACTTAGGAGGCTACGCTGGGAGGCTTGCTTGAGACCAGGAATTCAAAGCTGTAGTGAGCTGTGATCACTGCCACTACAGTCCAGTCTGGATGATAAAGCAAGACCCTGTATCTGTAAGAAATAAATAAAGGATGGGTGCAGTGGCTCACGCCTGTAATCTCAGCACTTTGGGAAGCCAAGGCAGAAAAAATGTTTGCCAGGCTGGTCTTGACCTCCTGACCTCACATGATCCACCCACCTTGGCCTCCCAAAGTGCTGGGATTACAGGTGTGAGCTATTGCGCCAGTGCAAGTTAAAGTTTTGAAAGCCACTAAGCGCTTGGGCTTTTGGAACCCCACATCCAGGATGGTTTGCAAGGCCTCCTCCTTTCCACCCTGTGACTTAGTCTCCCCTCCCAAGGCAACAGGCACGGAATCCCTAGTTGCTTGCATGGAGAGGAAGGAAGGGGAAATTGCAAGGGCAATGCAA